TCCATCTATCTATCTATCTATCTATCTATCTATATCTATCTATATATATATATATATGGACTCTCTACAAAATACCTGAGGAACTACATCAGAATTTGATAAAAACCCTGAAAATTTTGCAAAACAAACCAAAAAACAGTGGAACTATTTGCAAAATCAAACAAAATCCTAGGAACTATATGAAATCACACAAAGAATCCATGGGGATTATGGGTTAAGGTTGAAAATCCTTGAAAGAGTGGAAGGAACAGTGCTCAATTTCTTTTCATGATGCGAAAATTATTGTGTCTTATTCAGGCGAAAATGCAAACTAAATATGAAACCAGCCAACCATCATCAGCATCATCATTCGAACCTATTCGGAAAGTCGCTTTCAAATCGTACATTGCTCTGCGAATAATTCAAGGTCAAAAATAAAAAACAATAATTAATAACCAACATGAAGTACTGTTGCGATTTAGCAATCAACAGCTCACCAATGGCTGGAAAAGGAAACGTATTGTTTTGTTATATGGTCACCTTTTCACTTTCGGCAACAAGTTGTTTTATTGTTGACATCATGTGAATACCAAGGGAGAATCTAGTCTAAGTATCAGCAAAAATACCTTCCCGTTGGCATGATGCGGATATCAAAGCATAGTACCGTCACACTTCATACCATCTAATTTCAACAATCAACTTTTTATTGTTGGCATGATGTCAAGAACAAACTATTACAGGTTGTGTTGAACAAAACATGTTTTGGGTTGTCTTCATGCTTCACCATTTAGCTCACAGCATTGCTAAGCACTGCGGTGATTTAAGTTTCACTATTTTTGTTTGCTAAAGCTAGTATGATTGTGACAAGATTTTGGCCGAAAGTTGATATAGTTCTTGCCATGTTTTGGCAAAAGTGTACATAGTTCTTGACATTTGTTAGCCAACAGCAATGTAGTTCTGCATTTTTTCTGAATCTGTTTAACATTTCCAAATAGTTCTAGTCATATTTTTAATAGTTCCAGTCACCCAAGAAATAGTTCCAGCTGGGGGTGCCCCTCCTGACCATAGCCTTAAACAAAGAGGACAAGGAGAGTCCTAAGATATAATATATAATTTCAGAAATCCGCGTATACGGATATAGATGGGATATTCATGGAGCTTACAACCTAGGAATCAAATGCGAGTAGTCACTCAAGAGTGGTCTTCCAAACCAGGTGGTTCCGACCCATCCCAAATCGAGTTCTACATGAAAGCACCAACTCAGAAATGTGTAGTAAGTTTGCCCAGCTGTAAGGTTTTTCATCTATCACAACCATTCCATGGCAGCAATCCGTCCCCAAGGACCTTGGTTTTTTTGTCCGTCTTCTTGACCGACTTCCCCATGTTGCTTTCTCGCCTGGCATTCGGCATTCGGTGAAGATCAGGTGCTGGGAACATCCCAAGAATCCAAGTTGTGATCGTCTGACATGGAAAATCTCATCGCCATCATGTGAGAAAATGATTGCCATCGGCGAACAGAAATCTTCTGGTAGTCTGACTACCAATGGTAAAAAGCACCCGATTCTTTATGATTTTACCATTCAAATGGGTTTGTCTGGAAATAAGGTACCCCATGAATTATCATCATTGTTCCTCTGGCCATGGGCCATTTGGATCCATTTGGGTAGTTTTTTCCCCATTTTCAGACACACCCAAATGTTGATTAAACATCGAGAATTTCCCACCAAGGGGTTGTGGTTTCATTCCGAAAAGCGACAGGTCAGTTAAAATGACCCCTAACGGTTGGTCAGACCCGATGAGTGAAAGAGGCCGTTACTTAGACAGAGCCAGGGTATGTGGCTGATTCAAACTACCCCCGTTTCTGCTGGCTCAGCATTTTCATCGACCCCTATGGATCGAATCTGATTTGGACAAAACCATATGGATATGGGTCTAAATTTGATGTCAACTGGACCTGCAATTTGTTTTTTGTGTATTTGACCATCCCCAACGTTGCTCCCAATACCTCAGATAGGAAAAATGGGCGATAAAGAGGTTCAATTACCTCTTCTGGCTACGATTCACCTACAACAGATTGGAGCAACCCTGCCAAATGGAGGTCAATAATTTTTAGCCATAGGCATCCATAGGCCAGAAGGCCATACCCATCTGTAAAATTATAAACCAAATGATTCAGTCCCATCTCCAACTCCAACCTGAGAGGCTCTCCGCAGCAGCCCAAGTTTTCTCCGGCTGGTTGAGCCGCCGTTGCGGAATCAAACCAGTGAGGGATGGAGATGCGGACTCAAAAACTATTGGTGGTAGACATTACCAGTTGTCCATACTTCAGTGATATACTTTGGGAATCGACAGCAAATCGGTTTGGCAACGGGAAAAAAGGGGAAAAAACAAATGAACACGATCATGTCTTGGGCCATCTATATATAAAGTTGATAGTTGATACACTGGCAATGTTTTTGTTTGTAGAGGTTTGAATGGGACAATCATCGAACTAAATGAACGGATTTTGCAGAATGATTAGTCAGCAATACCAGCTGTTACAATAGCTGCGATGTCTAGTGGATCACCATGGCCCCCCTGCTAAAATCCGTTGTAATACCCTATGGTAATTTAACATAGACCCTGACCCTGGAAAATTACCCGTGAAGGTAGATGATTTACCTATGAACTGTTTCCATGCCATGGCCATTTTCTATAGCAAACTGTCAGAGGGTAGCGACTATCACCGTATTATCAGATGTCCAAGGCAAACCTTCACTCAGCTACAGTCAATGTTTGTCTGAATTGTCTATATTCATATGTAAATCTACATAAAACACACATATGCATACATACCTACACCTCTATGATCGTTATCTAGATAGGTCAATGGATAGATACATAGATAGAGATAGAAAGAGATAGATAAAAAGATCGATATGTTGACATGAATATACATATACGTACCGTATATCAATCCACGTACACGTATGGTTACATTTGGGTATTATGTACATATATGTATGTATGTATGTATGTATATATATATATACGCACTGGCATATCCTTATGCACCAATACATATCCTCGTACCTGCAATTTCATCGTACATATCTGTGTGGGTCTGTCTGAAGATAGGGTCACCCAAACCCCAACGGTTTATCATAATGTGTTCATGAACATTGCAATGGTTGGGGGGTTACACGTTAGGATAAACTCACATGAATCAACCGACATCCAATCACTGATTTTCGTAATCCCCGAAAAGATGCCGAACTGTGTTTCCAAGATGGTCCTTCGATGATGTGTCCTGTGTCCTCTAATACTTTCCGGGTTTCCAAGGTACTTTCGGCATCTTTGTGGGGGTTCCTGTAGGATCAAAGGTACCTTTTTTCCGCTTGCTCTGACCGTGCCATTTCCGCTCTTGCCACTGCCTGGATGAAGCGCCAATAAAATGTTCAATCATAACCAGAACGTGGGAGAATATCCATCCAATGTAGGTATAACAAGAATAAACACGAAGATGATGTTAACGGGAAGAGAAAAAGAAGAAGAAGAAGAAGAATGATAGAGGATATTATGGATACAAGTAAAACCCGCACGGGGCGGGTGGCGGAAGTTTCCAAGAGCAAGGAATGTTGCACTATAGGATTGCAAGACAAGTTTTGCCTATAGGAACTGGAGTGAATCCTCACATCTTCGAAAACTCTGTTCTGTGAATTCCTCCTCATCTTGCCTTGCCTCACCACTTTCAACTGTGGCCACCAATTCTGAGCTCTTCGGGGCTCTTCTCAGACCATCTCAGCTGTTCTAAATTCTTCTCACAACTCTTGGCAACTGTTCACAAGCTGTTTCATCTCTTCCCACCTCAGCTAAACTCGTTTCACCTCTTCTCAACTCTCCTCGCCTCTTCCCACCTCTTCTCAACTCTTCTCAACGACTCTCACCTCTGCCCACCTTCTTAACTCTTCTCAACTCGTCTCAGCTCTTCTCACCTCTTGCCATTTTTTCCAGCTCTTCTCACCTCTGCTCAACTCATCTCGCCTCTTCTCAACCAATCCCAACTTTTCTCACCTCTTCCGCTTCCCACCTCTTTTCACAGAGAAGCTTTTAAAGTACCTCAACAGCTGCAAACTAGCATAGCACAGCGTCAGCAACAACAGAGAAAAAGTCACCTGGAAGCCTCAGTTCCAACACGCGCGCAGTTCGAGCAGGAATCCGTGCTGAAACGGCGATGCCCGCACCCATAGCGCCTCTAAGCAGCGGAACGTCCGCGTACCCGAAAAGACAGCCTGTTTCGTGCAAATCCTTAAACATTCAAATCTCATCTTTGATGTAGTTCCGATGCGATCTAGCAACAGTTGCCTCAGCACCATAGCATCACAACACACTGGAAACAAGTCGCCTTGATGCAACATTTCCAACGCACAAAGGACGGCAAAGCCAGGGGGTCCGCAACGGTCGCGCAAACTCACCAACAATTCCTATAAGCAACCTGGCGCGTGCCGGGCACTACCTGGTATAGCAAATTGTTGGCTATTACCAGAGGGCACCTTATATAACCCCAAGCCCAAGAATAACTGTTTCTGAACAAATCTACCAACTGTTGTCATCCATTCGGTCTGAAATGCCTGCCCACAACAAAAATGACCCAATAAATTTTGGTCGTTCTTAATATCAACCATCCAATACTGTAAATTGCGGGTAGTGTTGAGCTATACCCTCTGCTATTCAGATCTGGCATGGTGAAAAATCCACCATTTCGAAGCATGATTTTCCCAGAATCTAAAAAACTCCATGGCTGGTTCGAGGATTTTCCAGCAGCCCGCCGGATAATGTTTGTTTGATGACATGTTCATCCAATAATCCCATGATGGATAGGCTAACTACACATTGAAACCCATTGAGAATCCCATAACCATGGGACATTATTACCCATGATAGGGCATGATTCATAGTTGTTGCATGTTATTGCCATCGGTAATGGATAGGTTCATAATTAGTGTCCCCACCTTCCCCATGGCTGCCATGCCACTCCGCCTTCATTCATCCTTCACGGTCTCCTAGGGATGGATCATGCAACGATTTTTAGATGGCTAAGTGGCAGAGGGACCACATACCATAAAGCCAAGCGCAGTAAAATCGGTTGGAGGCGCGCAACTTCAAAGATATCATGTCCCAAGTCATAGTAGATCAGATATTCCATTCATTTTCTGCTAGGATGTGATTCAAATATCACTAGCGGACGGTGTCGTCATTATTTTTCCTCTGGTGAATTGCACTTCCTGGCCCTACACAATGCAACGTGGCACCAACCTGGCTGCAGCCATTCCCCTGGGGACGCCAGACTGTTTGAAGACCTTTGAAGCTCTCAACAGGTACCTGGGATGTAGGGATGTTACCCTTGTTTGGCAATCCTCGGTGAATTCTATCTGCATTGTCTACGTGTGTGTGTGTGTATGTGTTGATGTGTCTTTGTATCTGAATTATACCAGTAGTACCGCACAAGGCGGTGACGGAAGTTTCAAAGATAGGAGCACTATGGGAAAGGTTGAGTTGCTGGCTGGAGTGTCGATGACGGAGTGACACGTGGTTGCAGCGTCGATGTTTGACTGCCACGTTTTGATGACTTCACATACTCATCCATCTTTCTTTTTGTCTATCTATTCGTTTATCTGACTGCCTGTCTGCCTGTCCATCCCATGTTACCTTGCTATCCTTCTATCTATCTTTCTGCCTATCTGTCTGTCTAACTATCTAACTGTCAATCCATCTATATATCTACCTTATCTTTCTTTCTTTCTTTCTTTCTTTCTTTCTTTCTTTCTATCTATCTATCTATCTATCTGTCCATCTAATTATCTATCTATCTATCTATCTATCTATCTATCTATCTAATCTATCTATCTATCTAATCGAATCGAATCGAATCGAATCGATTCGAAACCAATCGACCCCAATCTGATCTAATCTGATCTAGTCTAATCTGATCTAATCTAATCCGATCTAATCTTTCTAATCTAGTCTCATCTAATCTGATCTAATCTAATCTAATCTAATCTATCTGGTCTATCCTACCTATCCTACCTATCCTACCTATCCTTTCTATCCTATCTATCCTATCTATCCAATCTATTTGTTTTAATCTATCTAATCTAATCATATATATATATATATTTAACATAATTAGGTGTGTGTGTGTATATATATATAATGTGTGTGTGTGTGAGCTCGGCAAAATCCTTTACATCTCAGTAGTTGGACCACGGCTTATAGACGGCCGTGGGGTTTTGGGGGGTTTTGGGGGGTTTTGGGGGGGGCTGATAACGTTCTTGGCTGCCCGCCTTTCAAGATCTTCTCTTGGACTTGCTGCTACGCTATGCACTCTTCTCTTGCACCGTACCCTGCCACACGCTATCAGCTTCTTCTTGTAACTTGCAAGACACTCTTGATTTTGCATTGTTGTTTCTTGGGGGGGTTTTGGGGGGGGCTGATAACGTTCTTGGCTGCCCGCCTTTCAAGATCTTCTCTTGGACTTGCTGCTACGCTAGCAACTCTTCTCTTGCACCGTACCCTGCCACACGTCATCAACTTCTTCTTGTAACTTGCAAGACACTCTTGATTTTGCATTCTTGTTTCTTGGGGGGGGGTTTTGGGGGGTTTTGGGGGGGGGCTGATAACGTTCTTGGCTGCCCGCCTTTCAAGATCTTCTCTTGGACTTGCTGCTACGCTATGCACTCTTCTCTTGCACCGTGCCCTGCCACACGCTATCAACTTCTTCTTGTAACTTGCAAGACACTCTTGATGTTTGCATTCTTGTTTCTTTGGGGTGGGGTTTGGGGCGTTTTGGGGGGGCTGATAACGTTCTTGGCTGCCCGCCTTTCAAGATCTTCTCTTGGACTTGCTGCTACGCTAGCAACTCTTCTCTTGCACCGTACCCTGCCACACGTCATCAACTTCTTCTTGTAACTTGCAAGACACTCTTGATTTTGCATTCTTGTTTCTTGGGGGGGGGTTTTGGGGGGTTTTGGGGGGGGGCTGATAACGTTCTTGGCTGCCCGCCTTTCAAGATCTTCTCTTGGACTTGCTGCTACGCTATGCACTCTTCTCTTGCACCGTACCCTGCCACACGCTATCAACTTCTTCTTGTAACTTGCAAGACACTCTTGATTTTGCATTCTTGTTTCTTTGGGGTGGGGTTTGGGGCGTTTTGGGGGGGCTGATAACGTTCTTGGCTGCCCGCCTTACAAGTTTCAATGATCCAGCAATGGATGTGGCATCAAACAATTTTGCCGTGTTCTCCCAAAGAATTGATGTCATGCCTTGTCGATCTGCTGAAGAAATATCATGACTTTCAATGACGGCTTCATCCACTGAAACAAATAGTTTGACTGCATTGCAAAATGACTAAAAAACATATTTTTCCCCATCTAATTACGAGATGAAGCCGCTTTAACCAATGGCACGGCTGCGTGAAAGATCCAAAATGGAATGGAATGCTCTGACCACTGTAAATCAGCAGAAAAACAAATGCTCCGCATTGCTGGTGTGCTGAATTCCTCACGGCCGCCTGTGAGCCGTGGACCTAGTTACTATTATCTGATATTGTTTTTTGGGGGGCATTGCGTATCGCTTTCCAGTATTTTGTGCCAGTATCGCTTTTGGGGGGCTCTATTGCTTTGCAGATTTTACAGTGTTTTGTGATGTTTTGTGCACATCTCTGACAAAAGTGCTTCTGCAATGCTACAGTGGTCTTCAACCATTTCGACCGTAACTCATGTATGTATATATGTCTACATATATATATATGTGTATATGTATATGTATGTGTATGTGTATGTGTGTGTGTGTCTGTGTGTGTGTGTCTGTGTGTATGTATGTATGTATGTATGGATGGATGGATGGATGGATGGATGGATGGATGGATGGATGGATGGATGGATGTGTCTGTATGTATGTATGTATGTCTGTGTGTGTGTCTGTCTGTCTGTCTGTCTGTCTGTCTGTCTGTCTGTCTGTATGTATGTATGTATGTATGTATGTATGCATGGATGTATGTCTGTCTGTCTGTCTGTCTGTCTGTCTGTATGTCGGTATGTCTGTCTGTATGTCTGTCTGTCTGCCTGCCTGTCTGTCTGTATGTCTATGTCCATGTCTATGTCTATGTCTATATCTACGTCTACGTCTATGTCTATGTCTATGTCTACGTCTAGGTCTATGTTTGTTTTAGTTTCCCTGCACTTATGTCTTTGTCTGTGTCTATGTCTATGTATATGTATGTGTATATGTATATACGCATAATATGTTTAATGTGTGTAATTCTGTACATGTTTCATAGCTATGGATCAAAACCCTTCTACCCTGGCTTTCACATCAGATTAGCTTGCAGATAAATGATGTGTATTCCCTCCAAATATGGCGTCATAGTTTGTGACCCATTCGCATATGCCCAGGAATGGGGAAGATTCTCTTAAACTTGCCGCTGCGGGGCACCATGTGCCCAGGGGGGCAGAATGTTTCGTTGAAACCACTTCCGCTATTGTAACGTTTCGTTGCAACAAATACTGATCTCAGGAAAGCAATTGCAGGACGTCCCAATGTTTCGTTGCTTCCAATCCTACGGCTTTCCTCCATGTTTTTCCCCAATCCGATGTGTTGGCTTCGGCGATCACCGCACCCTCGGCCATCGCACATGCTGCACCAATGTGAAGAGTTTCTCTTTGGCATCCTCGTCCTAGCCGGACGTTACGCTGAAACGACTTGGAAAATGAAGAGCACTCATTCGGACGTGGCAGGGATTCCAATGTGCTTCTCGGTTCAGGATAAGAAGTGCTAGTGATACGGCTTAAGAGACAACATAAATGTGTGTAAACTTAAACCTGTTCAAAGCCATTTCATTTGCGCTTATACTCGACTTGCCAACCACCTACTGCTATGCCAGTTTCTCACCAATCGTCACTGCTCGCATGATGATCTTCTACTGAGAGATCGTGTGTCCATGTTGTGCCCCTCATATCGATATCATTGTTGGTTCACTCTCCGTTTCTGGCGTGTTGTTTTCATTCCAAAGCCTGTTTATTATGCAAGGTTCACTAGGTTTACCATGAAATTCACCCAGAAATTGGTCCGCAACCCCGGCAAAGCCATTGCTGTAACTTGTGATTTGGGGGCTCATTGTGGTCAGGATTCATACCCCAAAGGCCCCAAAACTACGGAATTCCACCAGTATTCTTGCTTAGAATTAGAATATTGCGGGGCGGTGAGAATCCCTCTAATTTGTCGTTGACTTCCTCATTTGTCAAGCTTTCCGATTTCTCCCGCAACGTTTCACATGACATCGCCTCATTCCGCTTCCGTGACAGGCGCACGCGCACTCGCCGGGGCACCTTGAGAGCCGGTAGTGGTAGTACTCGCAGTAGAGAGTTTAGTATGGTTGTTGCAAGTATTATCATCTACTGTCGTTATGTGTGCGTATATATATATATACATATATATATACATATATATACGATATATATGTATATATATACCAGCAACATAAACAACCAGGAATCACAGTATGATCCAAGAAGATTTGTCATGGAACTCACAAAAGTCTAAGAGGGGATTGATACATATTGATACCAGCAGGGGCTTCCGAATTGTCTGCTTAAACCCGCAACATCAAGGGATATCAAACTCCAGTTGTTGTGCGAAGTTTCTCAAGCCGTGGTCTTTATCCCCATCATTATAAGGGGTTCCTGATTCTTCCCACAATTAAACCAGTTCTAGGACTGAACTCGGGGTCGAACATGGATATGAAGGGGGATATGAACAAATTATCTGTACACTGTATAGGCTATTGGTTTGAAAGTTCACCGACAAAAACAACAAGCCTGAACGGGGATGTCGAATCAACGACTAAATCAACCAACACGTCTAATTGCTTCATGATGCGTTATGATCCCTGATGATAGGTTCTTGGTTCCAACCCATTAAAATGGTGGTACGAGAGGGATGAAAATGGGGATGTTAACCAACACTTCATGTGCTTGGCCATGCAGATAGATAGTGATAGGAAATAATTGCATTTCTGAACCAATAGGAATGAACTTGACCGACAAAATCACTGTCTTCAAAATCAAACGCTGCTGGTTGGCTGTTTCAACTCATCAAACAGCACAAGTATACAAACGGACACATCAACCTAAACATGCAGTCAGGAATCCAATTTGTATAATTATAAATACCCCTATTCATCTCGATGCTGTTCCAAACAGGACTCTCCACTGCCTTCAATTTTCAGGTATCCAGACCCACAAATATCACTGCACTGAGACTTCCGGGCGTTGCGGACTCCGTTGCTCCAGAGGAACTTGTTCAATTTGGTATCGATGCGCACGTCCTCATGGTGGGGGCGTGGTAGGGACTCTGCTTGGATTTTCACCATTTTTCACCCACAAATTTGGCGATACTTTTGCCTGAAAAATGTGATTTGGCCGACGCAAATGAAGGATTGCCCCCCGGGTTCCACCTATCTGCAGGTAAATTCTTCGTCAAAAATTGATGCAACAGAGAAGTCACGTTCAAGATCTTTTCAGCTACCCCTTAAATCCACTGGGTTCATCATTTTCCCATTGAATGGCCATAAATTGTGACAAACCCCACTAAACCCATATGTGCCCTGGTCAAAAGATGGTACATGGGCTGTGGTTATCCCATCATCAGGAATGGGATTCCGATTGCAGGAAGACGGCAGTCTCCTTTTATGAGAACATATCCCATGTTTTTCAGGACGTGTCCACACTATTGATCTATTGATGATATATCCCATGAATATGCCATTGATCTATATACATATCTCATCAAAAATCTCCATAACATGGTTGATATCCCAAGATATCTGGAAAAAAAACTAAACCAGAGTAGTCGTGCCATTTGGGGATGATTTCCCCCATCCAATTCATTAAGCCAATTCCCATCTATGCTGAGGTCATGGCTGGGTCGCTAGAATTTACCCATCTTCTACTGGCACATGGGAAAAAAACAACTATGATTCCAGCAGATATTCCATGTTCCACTACTACTAGATGATTGGGAAACTCTAAGTAGCTCCTTGGCTCCCCATTTAATAGGAAATATGAATACCCCTAGCTCCTTAGCTCCCTCCTAACCACTGGATAGACTATATCTTAACTATTATCCAACACTATTCCATTTCTCTCAGAAAAATCCGCGATGAGATCCCACTGCCGCCTGCGTCAGCATCACCTTGGAGGCAAATTGCCTCACCACGCGCACGGCTCGCGGCGCGCGCTTCTTGAAGGAGATCTGCCAGGAGAGTAGTAGAAGGATCACCAAGCATCATAGGATATACTGGGGAATCATAGGGATACTGTATAATATGTACATATGTTGCATATGTGAATACATGTATTGATATCATGGAAAATAATGGGATATACCCTTTGGTAAACTGACATACGACGTGGACAATTACCGTTTTGATAGGTAGATCATCCAAACATGAGCTATTTTCCATAGCTATGCTAATTTTCTGGAGGGTAACAGGGAATGATATGGTAAACCCGAGTCCATAAACCTCTATTGGGGATTGGCTTTACCACAGAAACGGAGACATTATGTCCATATGTTTATAGTTCTTACGTACATTGGAATGAATCATATAATATCTGTATATGTGGACATCTATATCATATGCAATAGTCCGATGGAATAGTCCGATGCAATAGTCCGCTGGAATAATGTAAATAATGGATATATGTTTGCTGATATGTGAAGAAGATCCCGCTGAGGTGGAGTCTTCCAGCTACCATCCAAGTGAGTTGCCACAACTGACAGGCGGTGACTCCAAAATGCCCGTAAACAATATGATATCTTGTTTCTTGGCACATCCAAATGCTGCAAATCCAATTGTTTGATCAAGTTTAATTTGTACCTGAGTTCAACGCCATACGGATTTCCGATGCAAAGCATTGCTTTCCCACTTCTATGAGAAAGGTTTATGTCAGTCGTGCAGTTCTACAAGCCTTGTTCACGAAGTCTCACCATAAGTCACTGCACATCTTGATATGAAAAAATAGGCCCTGCATTCTTCACTTCACTGACCATCCGATGCCTGGGAGATTCCAAACGCTTAAAAAGGTGGGTTCAATCAATCACGATTTCTATATATATATATACACAGACATACCATACATACCACACCATACCATACCATTACATTGCATTACATCGCAGTACATCACATTACAGCACATTACATACATTACATTACATTGATTGCATACAGTAATTACATGCATTCATTACATACATTTATTGCATTACATTAAATTACATTACATTAAATTCCATTACATACATTAACTTACATTACATTTAAAATATGTAATTATATACATACATTACATTACAGTACTGTGCACTGCATTGCATTGCATTACATTGCATTGCTTACATACATACATGCATACCATACCATATCATATCATACATTACATATAGTACATACACTACATAAATGCCATACAAACCATACATTACATTACATCACATGACACTACATCACATTACATACATTACATTACATTATTTTTCTCCCAGCCATGGTCGCTAAAGCATCCGTGGGCCGGCACTGCGACAGCTTAAAATTGTCGTGCGAGAGCCGTTTGGTGGATTCGCCTGTTTTGCTCGTCCGTGTTTAAATAGTCCATCCGTCCGTTCGTAAGTTTGTTCCAAATATGTTAATGGGTGAAGTGGCGCCATTGTTGCATAGGCGCTTCTACCCTCCTTTTACCAATCGGATATGCGTTTGCTGATTGAGGAGAATAAACTACTTGTCTCATTGGGTCCGAGTCTGTTGCTCTCAAAAGGTGTCCAGATAGTTTAACTCGTTTGTCCAAAAGAAGTTCGGAGAAATGTTTCACTTCGTGCCCAGCTTTTTCGGAAACTGCTCTAAGTACAAATTCGTTGATGTTTCTTCTGTTAACAAATGTGGGCTCTAGATTTAATATAGATCTAAGCCCCCGAAGTTGAAACGCGACAATCTTGTTTAGCATTGCCTGTGTCAAGTGCACGGTTTCAAGACCATAAATCAGTTTGTTTTGAATGACAGCCTGATAAACGCGTAGTCTCCAACCAACAGTGCAATTGGATGCTTTCCAAAAAGGCTTTAATTTGGTCCATGCAGCCATAGTCTGCTGCATTCTGTATCCGATTTCCTGTCTCATGTTCATACTTTGTGTAATATGATGTCCTAAGTTCTAAGTATGTTGTTTCAGTGCATCTACAAAGTTTGGTCCCATCTGCGAATCTGAGATTATTGTTCCCATTCATAGCGATATAGGAACACTTGCCTCTGCTCAATTCAAGGCCAAACTGCAGTGAAACCCGTTCAACAGCCCAGAGAATTCTATTGGCAGAATAAGTATTGGTGGCCAGGAGTACAGTATCATCGGCATAGTAAATTCGATCGAAGCTGATACCTGGCTTTCTGGTTCCTAAAGTGCGTCTGTCTAGGTGGTAATTAACATCATTATCAATCACGCTCATGACCAAAACAAATAAGTAAGGCGATAGAGGACATCCTTGACGTATACCTGACCGTTGGCGTTTGGGCAACGACTTACCAAATTCGTCTTCAACGAAGAAACAGGGGTTACGGTAGCAGTTTTTGATGCCTTGAATGAAATGGTCGTGAAATCCAAGCCTGTTTGACGCATTGTAAAGTTTGTCGTGTTGTACCTTATCGAAAGCTTGTTTCCAGTCAAGAAAAGTTATAATAAGATGTGAACCCTGTTGTTCTGCGATATCTTGCATAGGCCTAGTCAAAAACAGTGCATGTGAGGTACTTCTAGATGGCCTAAACCCATACTGTGCTTGCATTGCATTAATTGCATACATTAATTACATACATTCATTACATACATTTATTGCATTACATTAAATTACATTACATTAAATTCCATTACATACATTAAATTACATTACATTTAAAATATGTAATTATATACATACATTACAGTACAGTACAGCGCAGAGCATTGCATTACATTACGTTACATTGCATACATACATACGTACATACCATACCATAAATTACATATAATGTTACATACAATACATACATTACATACATTACATACATTACATACATTACATACATTACATACATACCATACATTACATTACGTTACATTACTACATTACGTTACCTTACGTTACGTTACCTTATGTTACGTTGCGTTACGTTACATTATATTACATACATACCATAATTTACATACATTACAAACATTACATACATTACATACATACCATACACTACATTACATTACATTGCATTGCATTGCATTGCGTTACATTACATTACATTACATACATTACATACATTACATACATTACATTACAGTACAGTACATTACATTACATTACATTGCATTGCATTACATACATTACATACATTGCATTACATTACATTACATTACATTGCATTATATTACATTACATTGCATTACATTACATTGCATTACATACATTACATACATTACATACATTACATTGCATTACATTACATTGCATTACATTGCATTACATTACATTACATTACATTGCATTACATTACATTACATTGCATTACATTACATTGCATTACATTGCATTGCATTACATTATATTGCATTACATTGCATTACATTACATTACATTGCATTACATTACATTGCATTACATTACATTGCATTACATTATATTACATTACATTGCATTACATTACATTACATTGCATTACATTGCATTACATTACATTGCATTACATTACATTGCATTACATACATTACATACATTACATTACATTACCTTACATTACATTACATTACATTGCATTACATTACATTACATTGCATTATATTACATTACATTGCATTACATTGCATTACATTACATTGCATTACATTACATTGCATTACATTGCATTACATTACATTGCATTGCATTACATTACATTACATTGCATTACATTGCATTACATTACATTGCATTACATTGCATTACATTACATTACATTGCATTGAACTGCATTACATTACATTACATTGCATTACATTACATTGCATTACATTGCATTACATTACATTACATTGCATTACATTACATTGCATTGCTTTACATTGCATTACATTACATTGCATTACATTACATTACTTTGCATTACATTGCATTACATTACATTACATTGCATTACATTGCATAACATTACATTGCATTAGATTGCATTACATTACATTACATTGCATTACATTGCATTACATTACATTGCATTACATTACATTGCATTACATTGCATTACATTACATTACATTGCATTACATTACATTGCATTGCATTACATTGCATTACATTACATTGCATTACATTGCATTACATTACATTACTTTGCATTACATTGCATTACATTACATTACATTGCATTACATTGCATAACATTACATTGCATTACATTGCATTACATTGCATTACATTACATTGCATTACATTACAATACATTCCATTACATTACATTGCATTACATTACATTGCATTACATTGCATTACATTACATTACATTGCATTACATTGCATTGCATTGCATTACATTGCATGACATTACATTACATTACACTCCACTACATTGCATTACATTACATTACATTACATTGCATTACATTGCATTACATTGCATTACATTACATTACATTACATTGCATTACATTGCATTACATTACATTACATTGCATTACATTACATTGCATTACATTACATTACATTGCATTACATTACATTACATTGCATTACATTACATTGCATTACATTACATTGCATTGACATGTTCGCATTTAAATTACATGCCATACATTACATTGCATTTACATTGCATACAGCATTACATTACATTGCATTACATTACATTACATTGCATACATTACATTCACATTCTGCACTTTACCATTACATTATATACCTTACCATTGCCATTAACTTGCATTACAACCTGCATGACATTGCCATTACATTACACCTTACCATTGCCATTACATTTGCAATTAACATGTACATGTTACATGCCTTACATTGCCTTAATTGGTATTCCACTCTACTATTGACATTACATTGCTTTACATTTCCCTTACATGCATTAACATTGGCATTACATTGCATTACATTACATTGCATTACATTACATTACATTGCATTACATTACATTGCATTACATTACATTACATTGCATTACATTGCATTAAAGTACATAACATTGCATTACATTGCATTACATTACATTACATTGCATTACACTACATTACATTACATTGCATTACATTGCATTACATTACATTGCATTACATTACATTGCATTACATTGCATTACATTACATTACATTGCATTACATTGCATTACATTACATTACATTACATTGCAATTACATTGCATTACATTACATTGCATTACATTACATTGCATTACATTGCATTACATTACATTACATTGCATTACATTACATTACATTGCATTACATTACATTACATTGCATTACATTACATTGCATTACATTACATTGCATTACATTACATTGCATTACATTGCATTACATTACATTTCTTATTGCACTTAAATGACTTCTGCATTACATTACATTGCATTACATTGCATTACATTGCATTACATTACATTACATTGCATTACATTACATTACATTGCATAACATTGCATTACATTGCATTACATTACATTGCATTACATTACATTACATTGCATTACATTACATTGCATTACATTACATTACATTGCATTACATTGCATTAAAGTACATAACATTGCATTACATTGCATTACATTACATTACATTGCATTACACTACATTACATTACATTGCATTACATTGCATTACATTACATTGCATTACATTACATTGCATTACATTGCATTGCATTGCATTACATTGCATTACATTGCATTACATTGCATTACATTACATTACATTGCATTACATTGCATTACATTACATTAGCCTTGGCAATTACTTGCTCTACATAACATTGCATTACATTGCATTACATTACATTACATTGCATTACACTACATTACATTACATTGCATTACATTGCATTACATTACATTGCATTACATTACATTGCATTACATTGCATTGCATTGCATTACATTGCATTACATTGCATTACATTGCATTACATTACATTACATTGCATTACATTGCATTACATTACATTACATTGCATTACATTACATTGCATTACATTACATTACATTGCATTACATTGCACTGCATTACATTACATTGCACTACATTACATTGCATTACATTACATTGCATTACAGTCATAAACATACATATATGGGTCGGTTATGGTTGTTTTCCCGGGAAGTCTGCAGGAAACCCTGATGCACCGCAGCTTGGCCATCGCCCCGCGATGGCCCCCATCGCCTTCTGCATATGTTTGTGCAGATGGATGGTGCAATCTCTGGTCACAGGCTCCTGAAAGCTCGCTGATCAAGTGGGAAACGTGAAATTCGCAGCTTTTTCTTGTGGAGTTTCTCAAACAAGACCAAGCCACTGATACAAACCACGGATCTGATTGGGTAGATTTGGGATGAAACCCTCTGAGAAACAGCGCACTCCACGTGGACAAAATATTCCATGTATTGTGGTTTCGGATAAACGCTTTACCATTGGGGGGGTCATCATTCTATATAGTTCAACCATTCCATAAGACAGCTTAGTAGGACCTAAATCTTATCGTACAGCCTGATATTATTTTCATTTTCCATCAATGGGAGCCATAAAAAGTGGTCCTGTTTACTCGCGCGTACCCTCCATAGTAATCTAAGATAGAAATGGACAATGACCCTGTAGATTCGTAGATGATTTACTCATTTAAATAAGTTCTGGTGACCGAACGATGTCAAACATGGCAATGGGAAATCCCCGAACTAAGCCATGGAGCTTTAGTTCGCTGGGAAAATCATCGAACTGTGGCTGTTGGATTTTCCAGCACACCATGTTCACCGGAGGCTAGCGGTGTCTGATGATTTACCTATAGGAGCCTATATGGAGGGGTTCCTGAAATGGGGGTACCCAAAATCATCCAAGTCATGGATGACCATTTTAGTATTGAAACCCATGGTGACTTGGGAACCCCACATATTACCCCTTAAAAACCGCACCTTGCCCGCGCGGGCCGACTTCTTAGCCTCGAACGAGACCACCAACCATGGGAGGTTCGAACAAAAAAAACATGCAGCTATAGTCGATATAGGCGCTAAGGTTTTAAATTATACTTATAAACTTGTTTTTTGAAATTATAGTTATAAACTGTTTTTTGAGTTTCATAGTTATAAACTGTTTTTTTGGCTGATATACCCTCCTGTAAATTAACAGTTGGACCCTGAAAATAACCCGTTTTTCATGGCACCTAATCGTCCAACCCATTTTTCTGCCAGGGCCAATGTTAATTTACAGGAGAGTAAGAATGTGAAGGGATGAAGCTCTGATGATGAACAAATTGCTGGGATATGTTTGGAAACTCAAATGAAAAGATATGATGATGCACATCGGCCACCAAACAAATAATAGTGGCGCTTCACATCTCGTGGGTGACCCATCAACCAGCCCTAGAGATGTATTGATTCTGAACAACTGAAGAATGTCAATAAGCTAAACCGTGTATGAATACCGAATACCCTAAACTTAGCAATTGTGTGGGTCTCCAATTTTGGAGAATTCACAGTAAACCCTAAGCTCGATTGTTTGCCCATGAAGCGGATTTTTTCCTGAATATTCACTGTCATTCACAGGGCTTGGTTGGCCGTTCTCCTGTCAAATTCTGCTGGCGGCCCTGCCTGTGTCTTCACCATGGTGAAGATTCTTCGCACCCGGAGGCTTGAGGCTAGAGAGTGCAAAGGAGAAAAGCACCATTTGGGTGGATTTGTGGCTTCTATATTGCTTCGTGTTTATGCCACTCGGGCCCCATGACGTTTCTTAGTTAAAATTTGTTGCTATGGATAGTCTTCTCATTTGTCATGTCAGACAAAAGCCAAGAATTCATCAAACTGCCCAAGCAGCCTAAGTTCTTGACTTGTGTTGAATCCCCCTGTTAATTTTAGAATTAATCATTAACCCTTGTAATTTGGTAGACCAATATTACATATCCAAAATTATATATATATTACATACATAAATATAATTATATACACATATTGATGACCCAAGAAATGCACCAAAATTCTTGCATATTTACCAATTGTCCCCTCCCTTATCTCAATCAAATTTCAATTCTTCATTCAGGAGGATTCAGCAAACCCCCCCAAAGGCTGAAACCCCAGGCAATAGATTGTGAATACGCCTGTATTAGTAGGTGCTGGTGGTTAGTAAGCTCTTAAAAAAAACCAAACATGATTATGGGATTACCAGTACCACATATGCTGTGCATCTATCTATCTATCTATCTATCTATCTATATATATATATATAAAACCCTATTGTCCCATTATAAACCAATTCATACCAGATTTGCTGGTTCTATACTCCATTGAACCTCCGTAAACTGGTTGGCTGTATCCGGAAGGCACAAGAGATTTCTATATCCCATCTTGTCCCACACTATCCCATATTATCCCATATATTTCCATATTTTGCTATAATTTTCCGCGTTCTCCCACCATACCATACCGCCCAATAATATTAACCAGTATTGATCATTCACACAAAAAAAATGCCATTTAGGGCGGGTTAATCCCTTCATTTCCAATGGTTAATCCCTTCCCCCCCAAGAACCATTGTTTAGTGGGGGACTGGGGGGTTGCTTAATATTAGGGGGATGGGATTTGTAACATATTGTTGGTTAGTTATATCCCAATAACCCCTATTAAATTCCATTCGAACTCCATTAAACTTCATTCGAACTCAATTAACTTCCACCAAATGACGGACAACATCAAGATAGCCGTTCTCAGCTGCAATGAACAATGGTGTTGCACCTTGATTCTGTGCTTGATCTTTGTCAGCACCAACTTCCACCAAATGACGGACAACATCAAGATGGCCATTATGAGCTGCAATGAACAATGGTGTTGCACCGGTATCCATGGCCTTATCCTTGTCAGCACCAACTTCCACCAAATGACGGACAACATCAAGATACCCATTATGAGCTGCAATGAACAATGGTGTTGCACCTTGATTCTGTGCTTGATCTTTATCAGCACCAACTTCCACCAAATGACGGATAACATCAAGATGGCCATTATGAGCTGCAATGAACAATGGTGTTGCACCGTCATCCCTGGCCTTATCCTTGTCAGCACCAACATCCACCAAATGACGGACAACATCAAGATGGCCGTTCTCAGCTGCAATGAACAATGGTGTTGCACCTTGATTCTGTGCTTGATCTTTGTCAGCACCAACTTCCACCAAATGACGGACAACATCAAGATGACCGTTCTCAACTGCAATGAACAATGGTGTTGCACCTTGATTCTGTGCTTGATCTTTGTCAGCACCAACTTCCACCAAATGACAGACAACATCAAGATGACCGTTCTCAACTGCAATGAACAATGGTGTTGCACCTTGATTCTGTGCTTGATCTTTGTCAGCACCAACTTCCACCAAATGACGGACAACATCAAGATGCCCATTATGAGCTGCAATGAACAATGGTGTTGCACCGGTATCCATGGCCTTATCCTTGTCAGCACCAACTTCCACCAAATGACGGATAACATCAAGATGGCCATTATGAGCTGCAATGAACAATGGTGTTGCACCGGTATCCCTGGCCTTATCCTTGTCAGCACCAACTTCCACCAAATGACGGACAACATCAAGATGGCCATTATGAGCTGCAATGAACAATGGTGTTGCACCTTGATTCTGTGCTTGATCTTTGTCAGCACCAACTTCCACCAAATGACGGACAACATCAAGATGGCCATTATGAGCTGCAATGAACAATGGTGTTGCACCTTGATTCTGTGCTTGATCTTTGTCAGCACCAACTTCCACCAAATGACGGACAACATCAAGATGGCCATTATGAGCTGCAATGAACAATGGTGTTGCACCTTGATTCTGTGCTTGATCTTTGTCAGCACCAACTTCCACCAAATGACGGATAACCTCAAGATGGCCATTATGAGCTGCAATGAACAATGGTGTTGCACCGGTATCCATGGCCTTATCCTTGTCAGCACCAACTTCCACCAAATGACGGACAACATCAAGATGACCGTTCTGAGCTGCAATGTACAATGGTGTTGCACCGGTATCCCTGGCCTTATCCTTGTCAGCACACCTTCCCCAAATGACGGATAACATCAAGATGGCCGTTCTGAGCTGCAATGTACAATGGTGTTGCACCGGCATCCCTGGCCTATCCTTGTCAGCACCACCTTCCACCAAATGACGGACAACATCAAGATGGCCGTTCTCAGCTGCATGTACAATGGTGTTGCACCTGGGTATTGACGAAAATGGCCGTGCTTGGGCCTTATCTTTCAGCACCAACTTCCACCAAATGACGGACAACATCAAGATGGCCGTTCTCAGCTGCAATGAACAATGGTGTTGCACCGGTATCCCTGGCCTTATCTTTGTCAGCACCAACTTCCACCAAATGACGGACAACATCAAGATGGCCGTTCTGAGCTGCAATGTACAATGGTGTTGCACCGGTATCCCTGGCCTTATCTTTGTCAGCACCAACTTCCACCAAATGACGGATAACATCAAGATGGCCGTTCTGAGCTGCAATGTACAATGGTGTTGCACCGGTATCCATGGCCTTATCCTTGTCAGCACCAACTTCCACCAAATGACGGACAACATCAAGATGGCCGTTCTGAGCTGCAATGAACAATGGTGTTGCACCGTATCCATGGCCTTATCTTTGTCAGCACCAACTTCCACCAAATGACGGACAACATCAAGATGGCCGTTCTCAGCTGCAATGAACAATGGTGTTGCACCTTGATTCTGGCTTATCTTTGTCAGCACCAACTTCCACCAAATGACGGACAACATCAAGATGGCCGTTCTGAGCTGCAATGTACAATGGTGTTGCACCGGTATCCCTGGCCTTATCCTTGTCAGCACCAACTTCCACCAAATGACGGATAACATCAAGATGGCCGTTCTGAGCTGCAATGTACAATGGTGTTGCACCGGTATCCCTGGCCTTATCCTTGTCAGCACCACCTTCCACCAAATGACGGATAACATCAAGATGGCCGTTCTCAGCTGCAATGTACAATGGTGTTGCACCGGTATCCCTGGCCTTATCCTTGTCAGCACCAACTTCCACCAAATGACGGACAACATCAAGATGCCCATTATGAGCTGCAATGAACAATGGTGTTGCACCTTGATTCTGTGCTTGATCTTTATCAGCACCAACTTCCACCAAATGGCGGATAACATCAAGATGGCCGTTATGAGCTGCAATGAACAATGGTGTCATCCTGTGATTTCCTGGTTGGTCTTTTTCAGCAGCTGCCTCAAGCAAAAGCAGTATGCTTTCAACATGTCCTTCACTGGCAGCATAGTGCAGTGGCGTGTTGCCATGTTCGTCTGTGACATTGGGATTGGAAGGGCTATTAAGGAACTTTTCCAGGGCGATCAAATCATTTTCCATAGATGCAGAGATCACTTGTTGGCTTCGTTGAGCATCAGCTGGATAAAAATCCAATACCACCATCTGAAGCTTCACTGGAGCCGAGCTAAAAACCTCATCATCCGGGATCTCAGAACCATCTTCGGAGAAGAGTCGTTGCTTGAATCTGATGACACCAATCTGAACTGCCAAGGCTTGTTTCACAGCCTTTGCAGTCTTTCCTTCGAATTCATCCGGGGCAAGGGCTGCAAGAGTCGCACCTGACAGAAAACACACCTCCATTGCGGCAGTGGCGGACATGCAAACAACCTGTAGTTAGACATGTTCAAATGTGTAAAGATATCTCAAGAAAGTTTTGACGAAGCAATGTACAATGTATACAGATTTTTGTTTTTGGAATGTATTGCCATCAACGCACGTGCCGTCGACAAGAAACATCAATGGCGTGGGCATTGTCCTTTCCCTGCAGCCAACATCAAATAGACATGACTCACGATTGTCTACGCAAATAGTCTGCACCAGAAAAAGGTGATCATGAACATGTGCAAAGTTGTGCTACCAAATATGCCAAGCATTATCCCACCCCATGTTAGCTACCAAATCTACTTTCTACACAGAATTATCTATATTTTGATAAATTGGGAGCGATATAAGCCCATGGTACCACAATGGCAAGGATGAACATCCATGAGCAAGCAACTATTTCAATGTGAACACAAGGGTACCTGGGTTCTGACCCATACTCAAATCACCGTTCAGTTGTCTGCCCCCTGTCTCGTATCTGGCTGCGTGTCTCTGGAGGACTGAGAAATATACCTGCCACACTCTAGTACTTTTATTTTGACGATTTACCCTCTGGTAAACTAACATAGCTATGGAAAATCACTTTGTTTAATGGAAAAATCCACTATAAATGGCAATTTTCAATAGCAAACTGTAACAAATTACCAGAGGGTAACTTGGTCCCCATGTTAGCCATTCTTCGTTCATTGATCAGAAAATGAAATCCAACTACATCCAGAAAAACATCCCGATGTGCCACTAATGGGTGTCGATGGTGACCTCAAATCACCCAACCACGGGGTCATATCCCACTATGGCAGTGGGTCGAAATCTTAAACATCCCCAAAATGAACAGACCCATGCTGCGTGCCTGACAACATGGGTGTCCAAACATAGGGGATATCCCAGAATTACCAATTGAATAGAGCGGATGATCAAACACGAGATCAAACATAAGATTTTGGAGCTCCGTGAAAATCACTTCCTCGTTTCACCAAATGCTTGGTCCAACCGGCCTAACCGATATGATTCAAACGAAAAATGTGGGAATTTTGTCCCAATAAGCATTCATCGAAACCATGGGATGTTCATCACCTAATATGTTTTTGAACCTGCCAGAGAAAAGGTACCCTCTGGTAATTTAACATAGCTATTGAAAATTGCCATTTATAGTGAAATTTCCAATTAAACATGGTGATTTTCCATAGTTATGTTAGTTTACCAGAGGGTATTATCTGTGACTCACATTCATTAAATCACCAGAAAAAACCCAATAAATCACCATTAAATCCCATTAACTCAACCAATGAGCTTAAACCCATCAGTTAGCCGCCCCCAGGCGCGGGCGGGTTGGCACCGGGCTCGAGGACGACGCCGCTGCATAGGGCGACGGCCCTGCTGCCGCCGGCGCCGCGCCAGCGCCCACGGCTGGGGCCGGGGCAGGCGGGGCGGGCGGCGCTGGTGGGGGTCGGAACTGGCCAGCGCCTTAGCAAGGTGAGATATCAATGCCGAACAAGAAAATTAGCATAGAAAAGGTAGATATTTGGGAGCGGATACCATGTGCATCTGTATGTATGTCTGTCCGTCCGTCCGTCGGTCTTGTCTGTCTGTCTGTCGGTCTGTTCTGTTCTGTTCTGTTCTGTCCTGTCCTGTCCTGTCCTGTCCTGCGCTGCTCTGCTCTGCTCTGGTCTGGTCTGGTCTGTTCTGTTCTGTTCTGTTCTGTTCTGGTCTGCCTGCCTCCCTGCCTGGCTGCCTGGCTGTCTGTCTGTCTGTGTGTCTGTGTGTCTGTGTGTGTATATGCATGCATGCATGTATGCATGCATGGATGGATGGACAGACGGACAGACGGACAGACGGACAGACGGACAGACAGACGGACGGACGGACGGACGGACGGACGGACGGACGGACGGACGGACGGACGGACGGACGGAGGTAGGTAGGTAGGTAGGTAGGTAGGTATGTATGTGTGTATATGTATATGTATCTGTATCTGTATCTGTATATGTATATGTATATGTGTATGTGTATGTGTATATGTGTGTGTGTATGTATGTATGTACGTACGTATGTATGTATGTATGTATGTGTATGTGTGTATGTGTGTATGTGTGTATGTATGTATGTATGTATGTATGTATGTATGTATGTATGTATGTATGTGTGTGTATGGATTTCTGCATGTATATATACATATACATATATACTATAAATAAATATATGTGTGTGTTTATACATCTATACATGTTTTATACATGTATTACATTCTAATATATATATATACATATGCTAAATTTTACAAATATGTGCATATATATATATCCATATTATACATATATATATATATATACATACATGTAAATATATATATTGTGGATTGACCACAAAGGTAGGGAACTGAAAGGATCCAACAGATTCCAATGTCAGAAGTTGTTCTGAAGTAGTTGACTTCCCTGATCACAGTGATATAGAAGGTCCCCTGAACCAACAACCAATAGGATTCTTCCAGTAATGGCCACGCCTATGGCTCGAACACCAATCCGCCCCAAGCGCCGCAAGTGGTTTTTCCTGGACCACACCTGCTGCAGCAAACCCCTCGCTTGGGCCTTTAAAGTGGCCACCGGGACAGGGTTGCAAACCCACTGGATTGAATGTCGGACATGAGGCATGTAGACAAGACCCCCTTGGCAGCTGGCATATGGATATGCAGGAAATTGGAAATTCACACTCCCAAAATTTCTTTTTTATTTAAAGAGTTCAACGTAAACAAACAAAACTTACCTAAGTGGATCGGTTGCAGGCTTCGGCGTTTGACGATTGATCTTTGGCAACTGCATTGGACAGCCAGGTTTTGAAGGCTTTCCGGTCGGCTCTTTGCTTTAAAGTTTCATCCATGCCATGAAGGCAGCATCTGCGATGTTGAAGAAATTCACGAATTCGAAAACAGTCCATGACCTTGGTAAGTGCATCTGACAGCTGGGCCGCACTGTGGACCCAGTAGGGCTTGATTCCAGAGTTCAAGTGACTTTTGATAACAAGTGCTTCAATGAGTGTACGATGTTCTTGGCATTGGGGAGTGGTATTCTTTGTTATTGCATCGAATAAGGATTTACAATCAACAACGGCAATGCTGGGATGTGTCTCATGCCATACTTTCTCAGGAGTCTGCCAAGGAATGTTAGGATTTTTGATCCATTCCCAGGAGAGTCGCAACCAATTGGTGAGATCCACAGAAGAAGACAGAGCATAGGTCTCTGCGGCTAACGTACTCGCAACTACACGGTCTATCTTCTTGGAAAACCAGCAAAGTGGGCTTGCTCTTGCACTCTTTTGGAGAAAAACATCCTGATGAACTGCTAAAAACAATCCTCCCCTCTGACTATGTTGCTTTTCACGGGTAGCAAACGAGGCATCCGAATATGAGACAAAACGTACATCATCAACATCAATACTGGAAATTGAAATAGTAACAGTTGCATAGTGTTTGGCATCGCCCAAAAGTCTGTTTGGCATCCAGTAGATCTCTTATCGTGGCGCAGTTGATCCGAGATTGCAAGAAACTGAGTCGAGCTGATAAGTCTGGTCTGGTGTTTGTGGTGGCATATTGCAAGGATCCAATGATACCTCGCAGGCTTTGACGTTCCCCTTCGGTTACTTCCATTTGTTCATGTTTTCGGCGTGTCCTCTCAATATGAATGGGATCGATGGCGAGGACATAATCCGTTTGATTCAAGTGAATATTGTAGTTTTCATCTTGGTTGATGTGTATTCCCGTGAAAGTGAAGTCCTGTCGTCGTTTGGAGCCAAATGGAAATTTGCTTTCAAGTTGATTCAAAGTACGTTCAAACGTTTCATCCCCACAACATAGTCCATCATCGACATGCATTCCGATAAGACCATGAACTTGTCCCTGTTTTCCCACCAGGCAAAATAGGCAAGGATCCAAAGGGCTGATCTGAAATTGCAATTCCAGGAGGCTTTCTTTTAGTTCAACATACCATAGGTACGGCGCGTTGACAAGACCATAAGCAGATTTCAGTAATTCGCATGTTTCTGTTTCTTTCATGTTCAGTTTCGCACGAAGTTCTGGTGGAGGCTCAACACCCAGTATCCTGTTATCTCGCCGGGAGCCCCTCAAAAACGCGGTCTTGACATCAAAGCTTTGAATGACCCAACGTCGTGCCGCACAGTATTGCAGAAGAAGAGCTCGTGATTCTTTCTGTAGTGTTGGTGAATCCCTGGGAATGTCAGTGAGGTCAGGGTCCATGTACCCTAGAATCACAAGTCTAGCTTTTGCTTTGCGGCTTTTCCCTTCTTTTGCTGCATCGATTGGATCGAGATCTTTCCCGGTTAGCACCCGTCTGCACTTCAAAATATTGTCTTCAGGAATTTTGTGTCGCAGAATTTTTCGAACTGTTTCAGTGGCTAACCATTGGTCAATCTCTTTGTTCTTTGCAGCTTGGAACTCGGCAAGTTGGCTCGGGGAAAGGTCTTTGAGCTTTACTTCCGCTCTCTGCCTCTTGGCTGCTGAAGCGGCAAGCACCGGAAAGGCATCAGGTTCATTTCCTATGGTTTCCAAATCCCCTGCTGTGAAGAAAATTTCACATTCGAGAGCTTGATCGTCTTGAACATGGAGAACATCTTGAAAAGGTTCAGTAGTATTCCTACCATTCGTCATGATTGTAAAAACTGTGATGCCTGTCCAAGGTTTCTGAGTAGTCCAGTGATCATCATCTTTGTTTGAACACCAGCTATCTGTTTTGGACCAAATACCCCCATGTGCATGGTTTCCAGTGGTACATCTAGTCTCCATCACGTTCAGGATGTCTACTGGGCAATCAGCGCAGCTGCTAGGATCAAAGTCGGTCCAGCGCGGTCGATTGTGGATACGGAGAAGTTTGTCCCCCTGGCACATCCAGACATCTTCAACAACAAAATCATCATCATCACTCGGAACAAGGACTTCATGAGGAGCTGCTGGAATGGGTTCTTCACCTAGATCATCAGAAATTCTATCGTTGATCGGTGTAGTTGGGGTATATCCACTGCTGGCTTGGGATGCTGGTGGCATATTTGGTTCGGAATCAGGCTGTTCCATATTGTCACCTTCCGAGGATAGGAGGCTCTGGAGGAAATGCCACAGTTGGGGCACTCTCTGATTCTTCCGTCTCAGGAAAATGTGTGGGACCTGCCTGTTGAGTAAGGTCTTCATATTGAAAAACTCCCTTACCATGATCTTTGTCAGGAAAGTCCATTCGGGAGGTGGCTAATTGTTCCATGCTTTGTTGGGCTTCATGCAAGGACAAACTTCGAATTTGTTCAGGGGCTACTCTGTATACCCGGCTGGAAAAGGATATCCAGACTACATGGTCAGATTCTTGGATGATGACCCTGGCCGGCCCATGCCATTGGCCACGATATTCACCCTTTCCTGGACGCCAGAACATGACAAAGGATCCACCTATATGTCGACCTCGGTGAGGTCTTTGCCTCCGGAGAAATGCTCTGCGTAGCTTCTCACTGTTGTCAGCTTGTGCGAAAGCCCTTCGAGCACATTCACGATATTCAAGGTGTTTCCTAAGGGCTAGTCCCTCAGGAATGTCTGATTCATAGAGAAAATGTGATGCTTTGGGCACGTCTTCGCACACGCTTCCAGGTAGGCATTGACTCTTCCCAAGTACTAAGATTTCTGGGGTGTATCCTTTGGACCGGGCTAGAGAGTTCTTTGCATTGCAACACTGTTGGAGGGCTTTCCGAAACTCATCATTGGTGGATATAGTTTGATCCACATCAAATCGCTCTAACATGTGTTGGAGGATATCACCATGACGTTCTGTTTTTCCCAATTGCCAGTGTGCATAGGCTGCCACAACTCTCAAATGAATGTCGCTGCTCTGGGCATGTTTGGTGAATTCATCAGAGCATAGGGCTGATTCGTTGTCCACAACCAGTTGTTTGCATGGACCTGCCCATTCGAACCAGCATTCTTGAATTGTCTCAAACAACGTTGAAGCGTCCGTCTGGGAAACCGTGGAGGCCAGTTGAAAATTGGTCGCCATGTCGATCAGATGTACAGATTGAAACACTTTCCCATTTCGAGAGGTCCATGATGTTAAGTCGCATCCAACACAGTCATTGAACTCTCGGGGCTCCGACAAGGACGCCGGTCGAGAGATTCTTGGAGCTTGTGTCTCGACACAGGTGCTGCATTTGAAGTCTCCGGCACCCTGAACAATCTCATCAGCAATCCTTGTTGTTGCAAGACATTTTGAAGTTTATTGATGCTTGGGTGTCCAAGGTTATGGTGAATCTTGGAAAGCCACTGTCGGGTTCTTGAAGCTAAAAATCGTGGGCCATGTTGGATTATTGAATCTTGTAATTGGTCAAGTGTGCTGGAAGGCGGATTTACTGAATCTTCTGGTTGACTGTCCATGGGCAAAACTTCTTCTGGCACTTCTTGCTGTGGTTCATGCGCATTCTTTGAAAGAGGCTCCATTGGATCTCCCTCTGAGGTCAAACGCATTTTCTTGGTCGGTAGTTCTAAAACACCTGGTGGGACTTCCCTTTTGTCATTGGCACTAGGTCGGGCAAAAACTGTGATCATTAATCTGGCAGCGGGAGCTTTAGCACAGATCTTTCGAACACTGAGATGTTCCCAGGGTTGCTATGTTCCTGTGTTGAATGGCTCAAGGCCCTGTCTTAGGAGCCCAAACGTCAGTCTAAGGGGAGCCTCATGTGGCATCAATCGAATGGGAGACTGTCGGAAACGGTCCGCCCCTTTGCAAATCTCAAGCACTCGGATCACATGATTTGGGCAGGCTTCCTGAATACGATCAAACAAAGGACCCTTTTCCAAAACAAGAGTGCCAACTCTGGGAGCAATCTCTTTGGCATCAGCAAGAATAGTAGGGTCCTGCAAAAACTGTGAATCATCGGATTTCATGGAAGGCTTCTGCTCATGTTGTGGTCCTGACAAAATCTGTACGGCTGCTGGAGGATATCCCGGAGGGTCCGAGACCTTGCCACTCAAACGACGTCGCTTGGCTTCTGGCTCAGACTGTTCGTCTAGTGTACCAAAAACAGGTATACTTTGGGCTACAGATTTTTCATGGATTTGGAGGCTGGCTTTAATGGTTCGGGCAATTCGGATGCAAAAGGTTCTAGTGTACAGTTCTGAAAACTCTGACACATTTCTTCGGGATCCGTCTTTCAAAACAAAGGATCCAGCGACCTGATCATGCTCATGTTGATGATTGCATCTAAGGGTTTCCACATATCTGGCCAGGATGTTTGATGTGGTCAGGATTTGGGTACCCTTCTGAAGCAGCTTGGAACTGATTGGATGGGCCAATTTGCCAGCGGTGCACATGTCACAGCGGACCCGAAGGGATGCATCGATGACCATCTGCAAACATTCTTGGAACAACATGTCGGATCCTACCGGCTGTTCAAGATGAAAATGGTACTCTGGTCCGCAGGACTGTTGCCATTGGAACACGGCAGCACAAAGCAACAGATGAACTAAGTCATCCTCGCGGGCTTGCATCACTCGTTGAGCTGCCTCTTGGGATCTACTGGCATTGAATTGATTCCACCTGCACCAAGCCTTACAACGGGGAGACATCCACATGTGTTTTGGTTGAAATGTGATGATGGCATGATACAGCTTTTGGCGACCCTCAAACGTTCCTAGATCCCCTTCCCGAAGTCCGAACCTGATTGATCGCAGTCCTTGATGTTGGCATTGTCGAGTAAGTTCGCTTTCAGAAGAACAGTAGATCTCAAGAACATCTAACTTGGATGAGGGACGTCGAACTGACGAGCCATGTCGTGCTGCGTACTGTTTCAACTCATCATAAACCCAATTGGATATCTGATCCTCTTGTTTCAGCTTAGTACCTTTTCCAAGACCATGTTGTTCCATGAAAGTGTTCAATTCATGGATACTGCGTTGCGTTCAATCATCAAGTTCTGAGCTGGATCCATCAGGCGGACGGATCCTCGGGAGCTGGAGGACACAGCTGCTGCATCTGGCCCACTACCTGCCATAGAACATGTTCTAGCTGATTCAGTCGTTGGCTCACTTGCTCGTCGATGATCTGGCTTCCCCGAAGAGATACTGTGTCCCAAGGTTCCTCCTCTTCCTCTTCCAAGTCGATCGTCATGGGACGTTCGGAAGACTTCCCATGTCCCCCTCCACTCTTGGCCTTGGCTTTGGGTTTGCTGGCCAAGGGAGCTGGAACGGTCTTCTCTTGGCGTTCCATCCAATTCTGTTCCAGTTCTTGACGTTCTGTCCACAACTCCAGGAATCGAAGGAATTCTTGGTGCTCCAACTTCTGACTGTTGCCGTATTGGCGAAGAAACCAAGTGCAGTATTTCGGATCTTCTTTCACCACTGTCAGAAAACTTTGACCGGTCTTGGCAGATCCGAACCTGATGGGCATCTCCTTGAGTTGGTCGTAGCTGAGCTTCTGCAGGTCCTTTTCCTGGGTCTCCTTTGACTGGGAGATATGCATGGCTGCAAAACGTTCGGCAAGGCTGGACATGGTTATTAGAAACGCTAGCAGTCACGGGACAGATCTTGGCAGTCTCGGAGGGCTTTTGAGATTTCTGCTTCGGGTCATGGGTACATGGCATGGTGACATGGTTAGGCTCTGATGAATCACTTGTACCATCGGCTGCACTCCCCTTGTGGGAATCTGTCACTGCATTTTGGGTTTCTGTTTCGTGCTTCTCAGGCAAATTTTGGGAACATGTCACGGCTGGATCTGGACACTCATTTGGTTGGTCAACACAGGCACAAACATTCTCAGCTCGAGGACCCTTGGGTTTTACTGCCATACTCGGTTGAGGCGGTCTCTGTGCCACAAGTTCGGAATATTCAAGCAAGAAAAGTTTCTTTCTGGACAACGTCAATGGCATGGTGCAGTTGAGCTCTCGAAAAAAGATGGTTTGATTGGTGGTGTCGATCACCGCACCAAGACTTCTACAAACATTGTTGGAAATCAGGAAAGGCGTTCTTGATTCTACCACAGCAATCTTAATCCAAAATCTGTCAACTGGGACCATGAGAGCTCGATGACATGGTACCACACCGTTATTGCCAAAACGGAAAGTCATTTCGACGGCCTGCTCATAGACCTGCTTGCTCACACTAGGTGGTAGTGACTTTAAAAACTCAGGCACTTGATAACTACCCATAACAGTTTGTGATGCCCCGAGGTCTAATATCCCCAGATTATGACTTGTAGCAAACATGACATCGTGTGCTAACGACTTGGTTGGACAACATGTGATGCTCTGAGGCTCCGTGACTTCAGTCTTCTCACAAGCAGCAGGTCCTACGAAAGTCTTAGGCAGGAGATTCTCTTTTGGAATCGTCTTTTCACGCGAGGGGTTTGCATGCGATCTCTCAGGCATCGGAATCCTGCCGGTTGGTGGCACGGGCAGGTTGCGACACACAATTCGCAAACGTTCTTTCACCTTAGAAAAAAACTCTCCCTTTTTCCTAACCGATCCACTACCCCAACAAACCATTATATTTTGGGAGTGTGACAGACTAGGCATGGAATCATGGTCCTGGGCACTCGGATGCACATCGGATGCTTGAAGGCTATCATGGGTCATCACAAACACATCGGACTCGTCATTCGGCATCTCGGTCACTGACATGAGCACATTGGTTGGCTGAGCTTTGCTGGCTGCGGATGCATTGGAGTTGATTTGTCCACGTTTTGGACATTCTGATTTCCAATGGCCTCGCTGGCCGCAGAGGCGACAATCCGACTCAGCTATGCGAACGGCCAAAGGCTTTCGGCCTCGAGCAAAAGGAAATTTGCCTTTCCCCTTTTTGCCAGCGCCCTTTGGGCGAATCGGCCAGAAACCTCTGCTGCGCGACTTTTCTGTCAATCTTCTCCGGGCATCAAGGTATGCTGACATGTATGTGGACATCTCACCATCATTTTGTACCGCTTCTATGAGAGCATCTTCAAACTGCTGAACTACTAAGGCATCCTCATCTCCTTCAGACAGCAGATGATCAATCACTGCATCGGGCAAATCACTCCCTTCAGCGGAAAAGGTGAAAAATCCATCATCATTCCCATAGGTATCATCCTCGGATTCCTGAACATGATTGATTTCACACGTTTTGCTACGATGTTGTTTGGCTTGACCTTGCACCTCTTGAAAAACTTGGCACCAAGCATTCTGATGGCTGAGGTGACGGTCTCATACTGTAACTCACCTTTCGATTCTACCAGGACTCTCTTTTTGTCTTCTGCACTCAGGGCTGAGTTGCGCAACAAAATGTATGCACGAACATCTTTGAAGCTGATGCCTTGAGTCACCAAATCCTCGAAAAGAATGTCATGGCGAGCAACATAAGACTCGTTGCTTTCATCCTGTCTCTGCGAGAGTCCAAAAATGGCCTTCTCAAACTTCTCAAAGCGATTTTCCAGTGTAGTCTTTCCCCAAACTCCACCGAGCGTGGTGACAAGGAGTTTTACTCCCTCAACAGATGGAACTTTGAGCTTTTCCGGGGCGATTCGAACAACCTTTTGAAAGGCTGACCCCTTGCATTGGAGCGCCGCACGTGGCGCAAGTTGACTAAGTTGTTCTTGGGGCCAAATGCCCGCAAGAAACTCCAGTCGCCGGCTGTACTCTGTCAGATCAGTCTCACCTGGGTCAAAACTTGGAATGAGGTGCCACGGCAAGTGGCTGCTTGGATTGCTGCTGGATCCCTGTCCAGCTTCGGCAGTTCCCCCTTCAGACATGGTCACGTCTATAGGAAAACAAAAATACCACCACTTGTTTGCCCTGGATCTCTCCTTTCCGGGATTGAACACAGGCACTGATGAAAAACAGAATGTAGCACTGGTTCACGAAGTTGCCAAATGAAAACTGGACCACTTTGTAGAGAAAAATTCCCACGTGCAGTCAGAAAAATTGTTGGACCTCCGGATCCACTGACGAAATCCCAAGGAGCTCGTAGCTCCGCTACCAATGTGGATTGACCACAAAGGTAGGGAACTGAAAGGATCCAACAGAATTCCAATGTCAGAAGTTGTTCTGAAGTAGTTGACTTCCCTGATCACAGTGATATAGAAGGTCCCCTGAACCAACAACCAATAGGATTCTTCCAGTAATGGCCACGCCTATGGCTCGAACACCAATCCGCCCCAAGCGCCGCAAGTGGTTTTTCCTGGACCACACCTGCTGCAGCAAACCCCTCGCTTGGGCCTTTAAAGCGGCCACCGGGACAGGGCTGCAAACCCACTGGATTGAATGTCGGACATGAGGCATGTAGACAAGGCCCCCTTGGCAGCTGGCATATGGATATGCGGGAAATTGGAAATTCACAATATATATGCATATTTATGTTTCATACACATATAAGTATGTACTTAAATTTAAATGATATGTGTGTATGTGTATAGTTCCCAAATTAACTATTAGACTATCTAACTATCTAACTATCTATCTACCTAACCATCTAACTATCTAAGTATCTATCTCACTATCTATCTATATTCTTATCTTTCCATCTATGTTTCCATCCATCCACCTATTCATCTAATCCATCTATCCATCATGGATATGGATAATGTATATGAAAAAAATCTACTGTACATGTCACATGTTGTGGGTGAAAATTTACCCATGTTTATCCTAGGTAGAAGTGGTTTATGAACATGGTTCGCCGATTAGCCCAGCCACATTCCGACTGGGAGGCACAACCCTTGAGGATGATCATCATCCCCAGTATTCAGTGTGCGTCCAAGAAGCCGTGCCCATGATATCCCACTGTATCTCATCATTATCTCCATGATTGCTGGCTGCGTCTAGCAATCCAAAGGTACAAAGAAAAGGTGTTACCGAAACCATGAAGCAAATCATAAGCAATCTCGAAAACCTGGTTCCTCTAGCCGGGACTTCCTATGCTTGACAATCCCAGACCATTGCGTTCACTTGGTTTTCTTTCACGGGGCTACATGCCTATAGCCTATAGCCAATTTGCACTGGATCGCACATGGCTGATTGAGCCATGGGAAAATAAAGGATCATCAGCTCAGCAATCATCGTTTGCAGGCTAAATTCAGCTAAATCCAAATTTCCGGCGCTTAAGGCCCATATATGGGGGGTTCCTCAGGTACCCCCAGTTATCATCTATTTATAGATGGGGTTTGCCATGAAATAAACCATCCAGATCTTTCTCTGGCCTCGCAACTGAGAATCCCCGACCCGCAGCTCCGGCGTAGGGCATCTGGGATGCGAGGGCTACGAAATATGGGGTATGATGTCCAAAAACCGTAAAAAATAGGGTTCCAACCACTAAACAGCAGGAAATATTCGGATATTCAGAGGGTGTCAAGGCAGGGTTCCTGCTTTTTTGTCGGACAAAAATTGTCCCGGCAAGAGACCCCAAGTGCTGCAAGGAACATGAAGTAGAGATACTGAGATACCAGAATAGCTTCTGCAAGCTCCCTTTGGGAAGATGTCCGTAGAAGATCGTGTGTGAGATCTCCGTGACAGGTTCTGTGTAGAAGCTGCTGTGCAAGATCCCTCTGTAAGGCTATCTGTACAAGGTGTCTGTAAGAGATCTCCAAACTCTCAAAGTAAGATCTCTGTTCAAGCTCTCTAGAGATCTCTGAGCAAGATCTCTGCTCTCTTCACCAGGTCTGGTCTCTGTACCACATCTTTACAAGAGGTCTCTTGGCAAGATCTCTGCACAAGCCCTTCATAAGAGCTCTCTTGGCAAGATATCTGTAAGAGACCTGTTGGCAAGATCTCTTTGGAGACCTCTTTCTCTGTCATTGCAAGATCTCTACAAGTGGTCTCTTTACAAGATCTTTCTAAGAGGTCTCTGTGGCAAGATCTCTGCACAAGCTCTCTATAAAAGACCTTCTTGCCAAGATCTCTGCACAAGATATCCTTGAGTAGCAAAATGAGCCCCGCGCCACAAAGAGAGCAATCTGACACGCCCAAAGTGCCGAGAGGGTTGTGCCAGCTATCTCAAAATAAGCACCGCACCACAACGAGTGCGATCTGACACGGCCAAATTGACAAGGGTTTGCCCGAGCGATCTCCAAATGAGCAAGGCCACAACGAGAGCGATCCGACACGCCCAAAGTGACGAGAGGGTTGCACGAGCACAAGTTAGATTTTCTCATAACATGGCGCACACCACGAAACATGAACATTGAAAATGTCAAAGGTTGTGTTTTACCTAGGTTTCGGTCATTTTTTGTCGAGGTCTACAAAGTACAGCGCCTGCCATGAAAAATGAGCCCGAGGCATCCGAAGTGCCGCACCTGCCACACTGAATCATCATCATGTCCCAAATCAAATCCGACGACAGTTTCGCAAAACGAGGCTTTCGACCCTTTCAAAACGTCGTTCAAATTCACCAAATACTGCGCCTGCCGCATGAGATGGCCGCCAAAACCACCTCTCATTTGAGCCACGCCTGCCAACGGTTTAGCAGCGTGCGCAAAGTGCCACGCCTGCCACACGGATGAAAATCCGCACAATTTCCTACGCCTGTCACGCAAAACGAGGTTGTAGACCACAAAATGTCCCGAAAGCGCCACGTCACACAGAATGGACATAGCTCAAAAAACGAGCACGGCGCGCTAGTAAAACGAGACCTTCGGAAGAGAGGTCTCCGGGGACACCATTCCGTGAAACTTCCTTCGAAAACGGAAGATGAAGGAACTCTTGTGCTGTAATGGTCTCCAAACTTGCCCGACACGGATGAGACCACCTCGAATGAACACCCGGCCTTAACCCTTACCATAAGAACCCCAAGTCTGGCCACACTGTTTGGGGAAACACAAGAAAACAAAAACTGTTTCATGGGACCGCTGTTTTTGGACCCAAGATTTGGCCGTTTGGGATCTCCAAGACACGGCTTGTTCACTAGCCTGAAGTTCCTGAAGCCCCGAACATCAATGAACAGAGCAGTTGCACTCTGAAAATGTATCCCCCCAAAGTTGCTATTTTTATGGGAAACTATGATTGAATGGGATACCTTTCACACAAACCCGAATGCACACAACCTGGGTCATACTAGACCTAGGGTATGTCAGTGTAGGAAGATCTAGAATCAACCCATTACCAGCAGCCACCTGAGATTTACATTGCTATGTGTGGTTGACAATTCTGTGGTTCCTTGGTGTGCTGACATCATTCAAGGATCACCATATCGATTTCCACAGGCTCTGGAGAAGATGTTTACAAAAAAAACTACCCTGCAGAATGGTCAAAGAGCTTTCACTGTACATGGCAGTCTTTGCAGCTTACAAAAGGAACATCATCGTCCAAAGCTCTCTGCGTTTCATAAGTTCCATGGGCAACGCTGTTAGGATCCCCCACGATGGGCGGTGCGCCCTCAGTGCCCAGGTCCAAAGGAGAGCTGGCATTGTCTGAAAATCGGGAAGCCCCAAATTTCAATTCATGCTCATCATCTCTCCCATTCTGATTGGAAAATGTCAGGCAATATTATTACAGCATGCTTGGAAAAACATGTGTTGCATCAAAAACGAGAGAATTGTCATGACGTACAATCTTTTTTGGTGGCTCGCGGAATTGCCAGATTGGCTTTTTACAAAATAATTCCTCTGCGAACTACGCGCGCGATTCGGGGGAGGGGTGAAAAGACCCGTTGTCAAAGGAAATGCATTCCAAAGAATTTTGTCGGGCCCTACCTCTGGGATAGACTCCTGTATTCTTCCAATCCTCCAGTGGACAGCAATGTTATGCAAAGTCAACCCGCACTCGACTGCTGGTTGTAGTTCTGGAAACTCTGCTAGTAGAGATGTGTTTTAGTTCATCTCAATAATCTCCGGAAAAAGTTTTTAAAAAATTGCATTGCTATATCTATGCTAAAAAACTCTTGGATCCTTCATTGGATCATCCAACATGGCCATTGGAACCATCCATTTGCTCGCGACATCTCCTTGTGATCTTGTGAAAAAACCACCCATTTGTCCCAGTGTTGCGCAACATAAACACCATCCGTTGCAGTACTGGTTTGAAAACATAAAATCACCTAAAATCCTAGAAAACCATATAAGAATCATATAAAATCATAGTAAAAAGCACATGAAATCATATCAAAACACGTAAAATCACTAGTTTTTGCCCTTGAACTCCTCCATCTTTGGCCGCAAAAACCGCAAATCGCCAAGTGCCCGAACTGCGGGAGCACCAGTTGGTTGGTTCGGCAGGCGAATGCCAATGCCTGGAGATCATGGGGAGATACCAATGGATTTCTCCCCATATGATGATGATATAATGGATGTATATACGTATATATATATATATTATAGAAAAATCTAACCTATAATGTAGATATATGTAGATATAAATATATATAATGATGTTTTTCTCAGCCTGGGAATTTTTCATGGCGATTTCATGGAGATTTTTTTTGGGGCCATGGGATATTAATGTGAGTTCAATGATGGGTGTACTATTGAAAATGGTCCATGTTGTTCATCGATTTCCTAGTATAAAATGGTGATTCTCCAGTTCGCTAACTGTCAGTTTACCTCTATCAAAACCCCTGGGAAATCACCAAGGAAAAGCTATAGTTAGGCCGCGATGTTTATATAGATATGTATATATACAGTGTGTATATATATATATGGATATTACAAGGATAATGGAGATATAATAGGAATATGAATTGTATAATTTTCACATAAAAGAAGAGAAATATTTCACAAAGATCATAGCTGGGTCTCTCTGAAAATGGGGAAATGATGATGGACCATCAAAGTCTGGGGTACTGTTTCTTCCGACAAAGCCATGGACTCTGGACCCCAAAACATCCAATGATGTGATTGGTTGGTAGCAATAGTGAGGACCTCAGAGGGGCTGCTCCACATCCCAGACATATAGATGCCTATTGCCGAAAATCGCAGCACATGAAGCCACCGAGCCGACCAGTATATGACAGCGAAGATGAGGCTAAAACCAAGAAGAAATAGCGACTTCGGAAAAATGGTTACCAGAATCCCTCTTAGTTTCTCCGCTTATGCATGGGATAGCCCCAGAAATGGAGACTTTCAACCACCAGAAATTGGCAAATTGCAATTTCCGGGATGCACATCCAAGTGGGAAACCAGCTGAATGTGGAGGCTGCGAACGAATGAAGATTTCACAGTTGATTTGTAATCGACAGCGATGTGGATTTCAACAACGAACATGGGGAGATCCAACAAAATCGGAGCTTGAACAGCGTAACAAACATATCTACATATATCTACATTATAGGGGAATATTCCTATTATATCTCCATATTCCTATTATATCAAGATTTCAACCAATGGAAGGGGAATCTGTGGATTTCAAGTTACAACATCCGGCTGTGAAAAAATCCTCCCGACTGCCCGGCCGCAGGCGGCGTCCTGGTCCAAAGTTCATGGGTCCCTGGCTGAACACTGCAGAAACACAGGTGACACAGCCGAAGCCCAAAATTGCTATTGATGGCACTCATGGAAAATCAATCCGGGATGGAAAGTCGAGCTTTTTGTCACCACTTCTGGAAGTTTCAATGATTTCGAGCCATTGTGGGTCAATGAACTTTAGATGAACTGTGTATATACATACGTATTTCTTGCATTCTATATACATATATGTTTTTATGATATATGATCTTATAATATATTATGTATGATATATGTATATGTACATACGACAGGATGGATTCAGAGAGTGGGGGCTGGGAGATCGCCACCCATGGGTTGTTGCTGCTACGTCGCAGCGGGAAGAATATCAACCAGGTTTTTCAGCATCAAACATGTGGAGTTCACTGCGGCAAAAAAAACACCACTCAAAGAGAATGGTTTGTATGTTAGGAAGAGACTCCTTCAACCCCATTCTCAACCAGCCAGTGTAAAGATGTGTAAAGTATAAATAGGGATGGCATTGCAGCTGAGTACATCAAGCAACATCTCATGCCGCACCAAGGGCACCCTCCTCCCGTTTTTCCCGCGCTGCTGCGAAGAAGACGCGGCTGCAGTCGCGGAGCAAATGCTGAATCCATTTTGGAGCATCAAACCAGTGTTTGCAGCTGGGGCATTTTTCTAAAATCTGCTCAGGGATGTTCAGAGTATTTCACAATCACATCAACAAATTCACCAGGCAGTCTCCATCTTCATGATACTTTTGCTGCAAAACGTGAAAAAACCACCGTTTGTTTGTTGATCTTCCTGGGTTTTCCTGAAAATGCTGATTTTCCCCATGGAATCACCTCACTGGTTCCATAGCCACAGAACCGCAGAGAGTATACCTTGCTGCAGCTTCAGCGTGCAGCTCTAAATGAAGTAACACTAAACATCACTAAACAAATCACAAAATCTCACTTTCGAAAAGCTTCTCCAGAAGATTAATTCGACCCATTCTCCCATTCTTTTCAGCCTAAATCATCACATCCTCAGGCGATTGGGGCTGTTCCCCCCGGGCGCAGCTGTCTTGCGACCCAGCTCATCCGCCACATGTCGCAGCTGCATCGAAATGAACTTGCGCATGTCCACAAGGTCCTGTGGCTGACACCCTCGTCTTACCAGGAACACCAAAACAATGGGGACAGGTCAGCTGCAATAATAGAAGTTTACGAAATACATGGAATACAATTACAAATGTCTAAAAAGGTTGGATCTTACCAAAGAGATTGAGGTTTTAGCCTATCACAATCCCCAAATTACGCCCCCGTAGACGCCAAACAGTTATTCCATATCCATTGCGGCGTCTGTGTGCATGTTCGTGGTTATAATAGCTCCTGATACTGGCAATGTTTGCTCCATGTCAAGTGTGGACAGCATGAATCACAAGCATCATTTTTTCATGCCACGAGTTTCGATTTTTGCCACGCCATTTGTATCTGAGACAATGAGAGGGAGACAAGGTAGGAGACAACTGGGAGACAAGCGGTAAAACGCATAAAGCCACGGTCGAACATGATTTGATCTTGAGACAACAAGAAGACACAAGGGAGGAAAGAACAGAGACAAACACGAAACAGGAATTAGAAATAATGATGAAGCTACTAACGACACCGCCACTAAGGCATACATATGATTGGAGACAAATGACTTTGGAGACAGATCAAGTAGGAGACGGATGATTGGAGACAAATTATATAATCGGGAGACAGATAAATTGGGAGACAGATAAATTGGGAGACACATGGTACGAGACAAATGATGAGAAACAAGTGAAAGCAAAGAAAAGACATCCGCAGAGGCGGACACCGCTAGACAGAGTGGAGACAAATAAAGGAAGACAAGTGAAGAGACACATCCAAAGAGCCGGACACAACTAGGCACACTGGGAGACAAATGAATGGAAACAAGTGAAGAGACACATCCAAAGAGCCGGACACAACTAGGCATACTGGGAGACACAGTTTTTTTCCATCCATTATCAATGGTTCTTTCACGAACTACCACGTCAAAGTTGCTGCACCAATAGGCCCACAGAATCAAAAAACACCAGAGAGTGGCGTACGCAACCCATCCCATATGGGTTCTTGCCAAGGGGTCAGATCAGTTCCTCCGGTCTTGATCACTCTTCGATCAACAGATGGATGATTCAACATGAATCCTTGGGATATCATGGAGATTGATTTATTGATGGAATTTTGGGATCCTTCGAAATCCAGAAAAATGATTGATGTGATACTTTCTGCAGGTGGGCTTTGCCCCCCAAAAAAATGGACCTATCACTTTTCCTCGAATCTCAATTTTCTCACCACAAAACCGAACCTGTGTGGGTTGAATCTTCGTTTTTCCCTAACAGTTTACTGTTGGGGTTGGGGTTCTCAATTCTTTCTTAAGAGGTGTCCGGCTCTTTCCAGATGGTGGTGTCCGGCTCTCCGGATGCCTCCAATTCATGTGTCTCTCTGCAAAGCTAGATTATATAATTTGTCTCTCAGTGTGCCTAGTACTGTGCCTTTACTAGTGTCCTGCTCTCTGGATGTCTCTCTTCACTTGTCTCCATTCATTTGTCTCCCAGTGTGCCTAGTTGTGTCCGGCTCTTTGGATGTCTCTCTCCCTCTCTCTCTAAAAAAGTCGGTTACCCCCATGAAACGGAAAGCAATCATTAAAAGTAACAAGTGTTTATTTCATTGGGGCTATGGCCAACCCAGAAAGGCCCCCGCCTTGACCGTGGTCTGTTTCTGGCCCCGGAACTGCGTGATCAAGTCCACGAAGTCGCCTGAAAAAATCCAAGTTTTAGGGGCATTAAACATGGAAAGATTGTGTATACATAATATTATATATATATGTATGTGTACACCTACATCTTTACACATACATCTAGATTATATGTGTATATATATATACATCTTATAATGCATCTATCAAAAACATTATACCAGTAGTACCGCACAAGGCGGTGGCGAAAGTTTCAAACATTGGAAACCTATAGGGAGGGTTGGTTGCTGTGACTCACGGACGGCAAAGCGAATCCACTGAGGGACCGAAAGGTGGTTTGAGTTGTGTTTTTTGGAGCGGTTGCAATGGTTGCACTGGTCACCTCACCTCATCTAATCTATCTAATCTATCTCATCTATCTCATCTATCTCATCTATCTAATCTATCTACCTACCTACCTACCTACCTACCTATCTATCTATCTATGTGTCCATCTATCTGTCTATCTATCTATCTATCTATCTATCTATCTATCTATCTATCTATCTAATCTATCTAATCTATCTAATCTATCTAATCTATCTAATCTATCTAATCTATCTAATCTATCTAATCTATCTAATCTATCTAATCTATCTAATCTATCTAAAATCTATCTAATCTATCTAATCTATCTAATCTATATCTAATCTATCTAATCTATCTAATCTATCTAATCTATCTAATCTATCTATCTATCTATCTATCTATCTATCTATCTATCTATCTATCTATCTATCTATCTATCTATCTATCTATCTAATCTGTCTATCTATCCATCTATCCATCTACCCATCTATCCATCTATCCATGTATCTATCCATGTATCCATCTATCCATCTATCCATCTATCTATCTATCGATCTATCTATCGATCTATCTATCTAATCTCTCTAATCTATCTAATCTATCTATCTATCTATCTATCTATCTATCTGTCTGTCTGTCTGTCTGTCTGTCTATCTATCTATCTAATGTATCTATCTATCTAATCTAATCTAATCTAATCTAATCTAATCTAATCTATCTGTCTGTCTGTCTATCTATCCATCTATCCATCTACCCATCTATTCATCTATCCATCTATCCATCTATCCATCTATCTATCTATCGATCTATCTATCGATCTATCTATCAATCTATCTATCTAATCTATCTAATCTATCCATCTATCTATCGATCTATTTATCGATCTATCTATCCCTCTATCTATCTGTCTATCCATCTATCTACCTGTCTATCTATCTATCTGTCTATCTATCTGTCTATCTATCTATCCATCCATCTTTCTGTCTATCGATCTATCTACCTGTCTATCTATCTATCTATCTGTCTATCTATTTATCTATCCATCGATCTATCTATCTATCTGTCTGTCTATCTGCAGTCTTGAAAGCGCAGCTATTCTGCGAGACTTCCTCAGCAATTCTGCGGGACTTCCACAACTTTTGAACTTGGCAACGTCGAAAACGCGGCAATTTTGCGTGACTTCCTCAATTTGCACTCCATATGTCTAAATACTGCCCTGCCACAAAAAAGTGAAGCCGGGTCATACCGCAAAATCACCTTCGCAAACCTGAAGATCTGGTGCTGCAAAATGCATCAGGAAATCAGCGCCCGGACCTCCCAACATTTTTGACTCATGTGTCTCTTGTACCGCGCCTGCCACGCGAAATGCATCTTTGCAGATCCTCTTCAAAAGCCTCACGCCTGCCAACATGTTAAGGCGAGGAGAACTTTGATGCAGCACGAAGAGTGCCGCGCAGCGGCGCCGCCCAACCGACGAAGCTGCGTTGTCCAGCCGCGCGAAGCGGCTGAAGGCCCAAAGGCCTTAGTTGTTGCCGGCAGAGCCAGCAGACAGGCAAGGTACCTTAGTAGTGGCAGGCAGGACCTGCTGGGAGGTCAAAAACCTCAGTATGGTCAAATAAAAACCGAAGAGTGGCAGGCCAAAACAGTGGGGGTTACCCGTGGTGAGCTTCCCAGAGCGCACGCTGCACCTGGGCAAGGTAAGTGAGAACTTCCAAACTGCTATCCCATCCGAACCGACGGGCAATACCTGAGCACGGCCTTGGCGGCCTCAGATGAAGAACCGGGGACTGGCAGCAATCCCAGGCCACGTGGTTCCAAGTTCCAAGTGTATCACACCATGGACATGATGTATCTGCACCGGGTCGATGGTGAAGAGCTGCTGGTGACCATTGAGCACCAAGAGCGACAGTCCTGGCGGCTGGGTCACAATCAATATGACGACGCACTTCGTCCCATGCAACACGCTCGAACTCGGCCAAGGAGATCTGAGAACAGTCTGGGACTTCTCGTCGTGACAGCTGGAGGAACTGGTCAAAGCACCAGATACGCCAATGAGCTCTGAGAACATGTCGACAGGCGGCAATATCAAAGCCGGCTGCAGTGAAGTCCAGAGAGTTTCCCGAATGCTTATGCTTCCAAGTCCAAGGTTGGGTCTCATGCCAGTCATGATCGGTCATCCAAGTGCGAAGTGTGCGGACAGGACTGCCAAAGGAGGCTCCCCACTGACACCCTTGTTGGAACAACCTGTAACCCACTCGAACCAAGGTGGATCCTTGAACACAGTCAAGGTGACTGAGACCGCCACAGACCACTGCTTGTGCCCACTCATTGGCACTTCGAGCAACACCTGAAGCAGCTTTCATAGCCGTCCAAATTTTCCGAGCATCCGACAACGGAAGTTGCCGACCCAGCCACCCGTAAGCACAGCGGCTGATGGCGAAGATTCTGCAGTATTTGTAGAAAACTGAACCTGGGAGCTGAAGGGAAGCTAAGGTGCGCACGATGTCCTTAGTCGATTTCAACCTGTCCGTTTCGACTTCAACATGCTTACGCCTCCTAGAGACGGAAGCAACACCTAGGAAAGTGACCTCGGTTTTAACCGCAGAGGGATCAAAGAAGCTACTAAGTTGATCAACATTGCGGGGGTTTTTGCAGCTGACTTGGAGCTTATCTAAGTTCTCCACCAGACCGACCGAGGAGCTCCACTCGGCCCAGGCGGTGACCTGCTGAGGCAGGTCCTCTGCAGAAGAAGCCACGACCGTTCTGTCGTCCATCCAGACCTGCGTTTTCACAGGGCCAAGTCCTGCCAAGTTCTGAACCTGCCGGAGCCCCGCTGACATATAGAGGCTTGCGACTAGGGGTCCTAGCGGATCACCTTGTGGCAGAGCAAGTCTTGGAACCAGAACATCAGGATGATAGCAGTTATCATAGCAAATCCATCTTTGGTGGCCTGACCAAAGCTGGGCCACCAACGAAGACATCCGGGCATCCCAACCTGCCTGACGCAGGAGTGCACCACAGAGCTGGGGCCTGAGAAGGTCAAAGCATTTGCTAAAATCTAAAGATGCTATGAAGCCGAGCTGGCTGTAGCTGTCAAGAATTTTGCTGGCAGCAACCTGGGAGTCGCATCCAGCTCCGTAAGCGATTTCTTCTGGCAGAATGGTCTGGGCCCATTCTTGCATCTGATTGGTCTGCAACCAAGCTCGCATCCATAGACGCCACCATCCCGAGAGGATGGTTATGGGTCTGAGGTGTTGTACGGGCACACAGTTGTTGGTGATTTTAGAGTTTTTCGGAATGAAAACGGTGATGGCCTGAGTCAGGGCAACAGGGAGCTCTTCTTTCTCAGCCCACTGATTAGCCAGGCAGACAAAGGTGTCCCACACTGCAGTGGGCAACGCGGCCAACTCCTGACCGGACCAACCGTCGGCTCCAGCTGCCGACCGATATCCTACGGTGGCTTGCCGCAGATCCTTTCCTGTGGGATACTCCCAAGTCCCGCCGTCATGGGAGACAGCACTAGCAAGGAGGTTATCAACCAAAAGCTCAGTATCGGGGTGATCGGAAGCATTTTGATTCCAAAATCGATCCCAAAAATCGAACAAGACCGAGACACAGTCTGGGGGGTTATGGGCAACCGAACCATTGGAAACAACCGACACACCCACCGGGAGGTTCCTGTTTTTCAACCATTTGCTCGCAAACTTGACATCTCCCAGGAAATTGTCCCGCCAAGTCTGCTACGAAACCCTCACCGTTTGCTCAGGTGCACAATCCCTTGCGCCTGCGTCGCGAAAACGACATCTGAACGTCCAAAAGTGGTCCGAGACCGTCAGTGTTTAACACTGTTGACTTCCAAATGTGCTTCGCGCCACAACAGCGTACACTTTTTCATCATCTCAACTTCCAAAAGTGCTCCACGCATGGTGTGTTTTGCACATTTTAACTTCGGCATGCGCTTCGCGCCACAACGCCTTGCGCTGCTTAAACATCTCAACTGCCACTAAGTGCTCAAAACCTGGTGTGCTTTGCGCGTTTTGACCGCGAAATGTGCTTCGTGCCACAACAGCATGCACTTTTTCCACATCTCAACTTCCAAAAGTGCTCCGACGTTGATGTGCTTTGTACGTTTTGACTTCGAAATGTGCTTCGCGCCACAACGGCGTGCAATTTTTCATCTCTCATCTCGCCGGATGGCTCCGCACCCGCCGCTTAAGCGGGAGCCACAAATCCGTGGGAAAACACAGTGTTTAGCGACTTTTCTACCTTTTCGCGCACCTGCATCTTCTTTCTTCTGACTCTTTCTCTCCTCTCTGATCTTCTTTCTTCTTCTCTTCTCTTCTCTGACTCTTCCCACCTCTGCTTTTTCATCTGTCAATATTGTCGGAAGTTTGACTTACTTCCTTCGATTACGTATTACATGTGTATGTGTATTTATATATATATATATACATGATTTCAAGATTATCTTGACTTGATATCCATGTGTATATCAAGTGCGAATTTTATGAATTGTCTCGAGATCCATATTAAGTCAAATTTGGGTTGTACTCGACAGAGTCATGCGTGACGGGTCTGAGGAGTCGCCGAGGGACACCACACTGGGAATCCCCAAACTGTTTAGAACCAGCACACACCAGGAATCGAATGTTCAACAAGCAACTTCGATTTAGACACATAGAATATCATAGAATCGTATAGACCGTATAGATGTCAATTTCTAGGGTTCCAGCTGTTTCCTGGACCACATTTCCGCTGCAATGTTTCGTGGTCAAACGAGTCAAATCCAAGTGACTCACTTCTATATTTTCACAGTCGGCGAACAAGGCGATAGCATTATCGCAGAAGGCGACCACCTTGGGAATTTCGGAATTTCCACAGGTCTCCCTGGAAACTAGTATAGGTTCCGGGTTCCATGATGTTCCATCTTAGTTCTCGGGTATGGTCAAAACTCCTCTGGTTTTTCGGGGTCATAGCTTTCACATGCAATTTTTTTGTGCCCTAAGCTTCACTCCCTAAGGATGGCTGACCTGAGAGAATTTTTGGACCCAACGACCCAACACTTCCCGGCGCACGTCGATACCAAAGTCGTTGTGAAGGCCCATGAGCCTCAGCGGAGGCAGATCCAAGCGGGTCGTGTAGTCATTCCCTGGTTCAACCCCTGATTCAACCCCTGGTGAAACATTCGGTGTCAACTGGTGCTGCTTTTTTCGGTGTCAATGGTTTCTATGAGGTGCAGGCAGTGTAGATCCATATTGAAAGGGTCGATTTCCAGCACGAATGGATGGAGATCCATTGAGGTTTGTTACGATATCTGGTTCTGCCCGGCCGCCAACCCCCCCCCAAGAGGTCACCTATGGCCTACGGCCCGCTCAACAATGGGGTATCGATAGACAAAGAAACTTGGTTGACTAAACTACTCAATTTTGAAGCGCAAGCATGACGTGCAATATGAAACTGAATTTGATGTCTACTACCAGATTCTTGTTGTTCACTTCGGGGAACAAATCTGCCGACCCCAAACTGATTTCAGCGATATAACCACTGGTTTCCATCGACCAGCCAAACCCGCAACTGATGGGACCCCCCTATGATCCCTGTGAATATGTTGGACGTCTTATTGATCCTGGGTTGACATTCTCATGCTGTTGCTTCGGGTTTGTCTGAACGGTTCATTCCATACACTGGTTGAAAGCCTGAATTTTCCTATGTCTATATAAAGGGCCATAAATTAATTGGGGTGAATCCCCAATCTCAGACCCAAAACATATTGGTGAAGTAATATCTGTTATATATATATATTATTATATATATATGATATATATATATATGATATATATATATATCCCTGTTCTATCTCCATATCATGGTTGCTTTCAGATCCCCATGTGTGATCATGATGTATAGTTAGGTTTTTCGTTGTCGCTAGCCAGAAATCCCCCAGAACTTTTTGAAGAGAACTTTCCAGGACGGGTTACATCACAAGTTCTGTTGGGACAATGAAATCCCACATTTGTCTCGCATCCCAGGCAGAGTTAGCATCCATACCATCATTTTTGCTGGTTAAATGACTATCTTGGTTGAATAAAATCGGGATTGAATAAATCGGCACTTTCGCCTAAGTTACCATCATCAGATCATCCCATCATTTTGCTGAGGTCACCATGGAAATACCATGGAATTCATGGTCCAATCCCAGGGCCCCAGGGCAGGGCCCCTATTTTTATCGAAGGCGCAGGTCCGGATCTCTCTCTATCACCTCCAAGAACTCGGCCCGCGACAACATCCGATCTCCATCCATGTCCAGGCTTCCTCGGCGAACGACGTGAACGACGAGGGGAGAAAATGCCGAGTCGGTTTAAACGGTTTCGAAAAAACCACGGGGTCATGGGTCATCGCAAAAATGAGGGAAAAATGTGATATATGTGATAAATTCCCCTAAAAAGTGCCACTGCGGTTGTTCATCAATGGGTTCACATTATCATGAGCTTAGTGATGCAATTTGGTCAGGTCGAATGCGCACTTCATTGTGGCTTCCATTGGTTGCCAGGTGATGGAGAAATATCTGTAGCAGCCAAGTGGGATATGGTAACGGATCAGTTCAAGACGGAGAAGCTTTCTGAGAAGGGACTGTTGAAACAGCACCGCTGCTGCTGCAGGTACCTTTCAAACCCTTTGATTTTCAAAACCCGAGGAAAAAGTTCAAAAAAAATAACACAAAATCCAGCCATTCAATTTGCAGGCCCAGTATGGATTGTTGTTTGCTCCCTTGGGGCGCTATGATGATATCATCGCCATCCAAACGCCTTCGACCTTCGATCTGCCTTGTACGCCAACGCCGAGTCACGCACGAATTCGCAAATGAAGCGATATGCTTGGTCATGGAAGGCCCGCTCTTCTTCCACCTAAAAACGCCGCCCCCCTTGTGGCAGTCCGTGTCGGCTGTAACAAACATGTTGCTTCAATGGGAAAATAACACCAACATCTTCAAGAAAATTGACGCCAAAGATGCATTGAGGAGAGCGGGGCTTAAGCTGGAAGGCCAATCATTCGGTATGTGTGATAGAGGTATATACCGTGTGTGTATATAGATGTATATAGATATATATATATATATATCCCCTTTTTGGAGACACGTAGATGGGTACGCGCGGTTTCGAAGAATGTTCGCGCAACAAGAATGGAACAAGGGGATCTATCGGGTATACCTTGGGGGGTAGTTCCAGAAAATGCGTGACATCGGCCTTGCAAAGCCCCATCAGCCGGTCAGAATCTCGAGGAAATTTGAGTGGGAACTCGGGCACTTCAGGAGAGCCCCACAAACAAGAGTCAATTCTCACCTGGAATGGTACCCCATTTTTGGATCGCAAACAGCACGTCTCAGCTTCAGCCATCAACGGCTGCACCTGCGCAACGACGTTGACCACTTCACAAAGCACACCAATCAGCATGTTCCTGGGAAAATACTGACAGCTGCACTGACAGAGGTCACAAACATCAGGGCACCAATTGTGGGTGACCATTCAGGAGCCGTACTACCATAAATTGCTCATAGAGCATCTGGCGATGTCAACATGATCT